CCTTTGTACTACTAACTGTTAACCTGTCCCTCCTTTTGTGTGTAGCTGTGTGCTTCAAGAATGCAAAGCAGTATGAACAAGCAACGGAGGCTTACTTGAAGGAAGCAGAATATCAAACAGAAAACAAGACGTATCCTCTCTGTACTCTGATCACAGTTCCATGACACTGCACTTTTGTCTGTATTGTTATTTCCTTAACCTTTCCTACAGTCTGTTTCATGCTGCAAAGTAAGTGTCAAGTTTTATGACCCAGTTATTACTCTAAGCCAGCAACTAACATTATAACTCTTATTTAATACAAATTCTCCTTCTTTTCCTCAGGGCTATTGAACAGGCAGGAATGATGATGAAGGTATGTGCAGATTTAACATTAAACTCTAGCAGGTAGACGTAGGTAACGTGTCTGCAGCAGAATTGTAACTCTGCTGTGTCTGCATTGCATCAGGAGCAAAAGAAGATGCCGGAGGCCATCGACTTAATAGAGAAAGCCTGCATGATGTACATGGAGAACGGGACTCCTGACACCGCTGCCATGGCTCTGGACCGCGCTGGAAAGTAAAAAACATCCCTTTATTTTTTAATACACTTAAGAAAATTGATATTTAACATCTTCTGTCTGTATGCATTACATTAACACACATCTTTGGGACTATATCTCTGTCCATTGCATAATCTTTTTAATACTTTGCTTTCCTCTTAACCTTTTCCTTTACTCTTCAGACTGATAGAGCCTATCAATCTAGAGAAAGCTGTGGACCTGTATCAGAAGGCAGCTGGCGTGTTTGAGGTAAGCTTCCAACAAAACCTGAATGAATCATTTAACTTGTTGTTTTTATTTTGTTCCGCTGATAAACATCCATGTTGCCTCTCTCTGTAGAATGAGGACCGCCTGCGCCAGGCAGTGGAGATGCTGGGGAAAGCCTCCAGACTCCTGGTCAGGTTAAGAAGGTAAAGAGATACAGATATATATGGAAGGACGGTGATGATAATGCTGCCACATGCTAGGTGTAATGCAACACAGGATTATAGCTGTCCTGTTTTAGCAAATGCTTATGTATGGAACAAGGTGATGGACTTATCCACAAACCTTTATTCCAATATCTCTCTGAGATCTGTCCCATAAATAAAGGCTTACAAGCTGATGGCTCAAATGTATTTAAATATTCACTTGCAACTATGAAAAATCTTAAACAGTACCTGTTCCTCATTCCTCACTTTCTCGTTTTACCCACCAGGTTGGATGAGGCGTCCGTCGCTGTGCTGAAAGAGAAGAACATGTACAAAGATATCGAGAACTTCCCCATGTGCTTCAAGGTGGGTTACAATGCTAATGTTATCTAGATCTCTCATTAGCAACTTAATTAAGCTTTATATACTCCCTCTAGAATACATTTACCAGATAACCAACTCAGTTCTTATTCTATTCCTCTCAGCTGATCAATATATAACAGTGTAAACACAGCACTGTGTATTAATGAATATATGTCACATGGTAACAAAAAGATCATGTGTTGGTCTGTGTTTTTCACTCTTCAGAAAACAACTGTCCAAGTTCTGATTCATCTCCATAGAGCGGACTACGTAGCAGCTGATAAATGTGTCAGAGAAAGTTACAGGTACGTTTATTTTTTTACCATATTCTTTCGTTTCTGTCATCTGTGGCCTGAGTCCATAGTCGATGAAATGCAGAGGCTCTCTTTGGAGATTGTTTACCCTCCACATGATCGTCGTGAAAACACTTAAAAACGAGGGTCTTTACATGATGTGTTTCTTGGTGTCGTCCAGTCTGCCCGGGTACAGTGGGAGTGAGGACTCCGTCGCCATGGAGACGCTACTGCAGGGCTACGACGAGCAGGACGAGGATCAGGTCTACCGCGTGTGCAACTCGCCTCTACTGAAGTACATGGACAATGACGTGAGTACTGGTGATCCATAAGTACTTCTGAATATGTTTTTTAATACGGGGGGAGAACCAGAGAGGAGTATGGGACAATTACTTTATATTAAATGACAGCTTTATTTATATGGATTTTTTCTTTGTATATGGTCAAAAATGGACAAACCGATCAACAGTTATTATGATTTTCATTTGTCCTTGTCTTGCTTTATTCATTGTCTTCTGGATGGTTAAATGTTTAATGTCACTTACTCGCCTGTGGTCTCACCCTCGCCGCTAAAACACTTTCTTCATTTTCACACAAAAGTCAGATTTCACAATGAAGCTATAAATACAAATGGTATAATGAAGCGCTGTTCTTCCTGTGGAGATCCACTTAAAGACACAGTCATCTCTCTTGGGAGGACCAGCAACTTTAACTTAAAAAAGACAGTCACTGCTGCTAACAATGTTTGTCAAATTGTATGTAAGAAGTCCATATGAGATATTTTAGTTTTTCGATTAAATAAAAGCATGTCAATAAACTAAACATGTCTGGCCATTGACGGGATTCTCATTTCCTTGTGTGAAATTGAGTTTGATACACCTAGAGAAATAGATCCAAAGCTTTACATATTACTTATTATGGTTAAACACTCAAAAACGTATCCAATCTGCTTCATCAGGACTAATGACTGTCTAAGGAACAGAAATGAACAGAAATCTCATGTGAAATAATTCAGTAAAACTAACTTCTGCAGACAAAGCGTGCTTCAATCACTGCAAGAAGCTTATTGAGAAAATACATTTTGAGGATCTGATATCTGACGACTCTTTTTCCCCCCTCACAGTACGCCAAGCTGGCCCTCTCCCTGAGGGTCCCCGGGGGCGGAACAAAGAAGAAGAAGGCTGCCGCCGCCGCACCACAAGGGGGCGCTGATGGAGCGCCAGCAGAGGATGATTATGAGGGAGGGCTGTGTTAACCTCCAGAGAGCCGAATCTACCGTGTTCCCTCTACAAGTTAAAAACCTCGACAAATTATCCAGCTCTAAGGCCAAGTATGTGGCTGTTAAATCTATATTGTGCAAAAATTAATACATTATTTAAAAACATCAGTAACAGTCGGTGTTGCAAAGAGTCCACCTGAGTTTAAGCAGCCTTTTTAATTTCCTTTGAGGTGGATCCTCTGTAATGAAAACTCCTCAATGTTCAATAATGCCCGTCGTAAATGTTATTATTTCTGGTCTCTGTGACGCTGTACATTTTGCGCTATTGTTGGTGAGTAGTCTTAAGATTGATATAGGTATATTAAAATCAGAAATACTGTAATATGTCTGATGAGTTGATCAGTGTATAGGTGTTTATTTGTACAGAGTTAAATTATTCAGTATTCATGGCTGCTGCCTGTTGAATATGTAACTGGAACAATATGCAATCAGTCTATTAATGCATGTTTGGAATAATGCAATAGTTAATAATCAAAATGTATTCATTTGCAGATAAACTCAGATTTAAACTATAATCTTCATGCGATACCGTTTATTCAAGAAAATTAAAGGAACACTACAGTTCCTGACGGCGCAGCTCGTATCCAATTGTTGACTGTTTTCAAGGTGTGTGTGTTTTTGTCCACCTTAATCCTAAAATAGTCTTGGCTCCGTCTTTATTTCCAATTTTTCACAGTACATCTAAGCACTTAAACATGTAAAAGGACCCGGCAGTGATGTTTCCAATACATTTCCCCCCATATATGTCCCCTTTAAGGCTGATTTTGTGTTTCTGTGAGTTATCTTATTGCTAATTCCTTAAATGTGAGAAGCCTTTAATTAGGGAGGATATAAATCACATGCCAGCCAAACTTATTCTGATACCAAAAGGTGATAAAGGGACTGTTTACATTTTTTATTTATGCTGTGGCCCACTTCTTGTATATTCCTCAAAAGCATATCTCCAAACTTCACACATGAATCAATAAACATTTCCATTGTGTGGTATTTCATGGTCTCTGTGCATTTTCTTAAACGAGTTAGCAGAAAGATTTTCCACATCAGTGAGACTCGCAGCGGCTGCAGTCTGCTCCAAAATGGCCTCCGACAGACATGCAATGACGGAGTAGCTTCCTAAAACCTATTTATCTTTAATGAGGAGACTAATGCCCTCCACACATTTAATGCATATTTATACTGTTATTCTGATGTCCTGTGATTATCTGAGATGCATCTGTGCATTAGAAACAATCTCCACAGGACTTGGGTGAACATACAATCTGAAAATAAAATGAAAGTGTCTTAAGTGCAGCTTAAAGTCAGTAAGTATACCACTGGTTTATACAGATAAAATAGAGCTGATGCTTCTTTCATAGAAATGGAACAATGTGACATTTCTGCATTAGAAACATTAAAAAAACGTACTGAGGTAGAGCAAGAGCAGGGACGCCGCGGGAAGTCAGTCAGAGTTGGAGGGGCTGGGGTGCTAGTAGAGCCTCGCTGCGGAGAAACTGACACGCTGGGGGGGGGGGGGGGGGGGGGTGCTAGTGGAGCCTCTGTTGCGCGCTTACACTGTAGGTGCGCTGCGTTTGGGGGCACAGACATTTGGAGGGGCTAGTGGAGCCTCGCAGATGGGGGTGCTGCAGCCCCCTCACCACCACCCCCTTCCCGCGTCCATGAGCAAGAGTACAAAGCTTCACACACAAGTGAGATGAAGAGTGAGTCTTTAGCTTAGTCTCCGGGAAACCAACCTTTGATAGTTAATTCAAAATGTACTCACCATTATTAGTGATTTCTCCTGGGAATGTCGCCACAGACATCCAGGTCACAGCTCTCAGTCACCATAGGGCTATGTCATAGATTTACACCGATATGTAATGAGTGAACATGTATTCATGTAAATGGAAAAGCTTTGAGATAATAACTTTAGAGTTCATGCAGGTGTTCTGAGTATAAATGTGGCTTTAAACCTAATAAAACGTACTTTGATAACCACAGCTCAAAGTGGATTTAACGCCATTAAAGTATATCAAACATATCGTTACCTACCTAGTGTTAATGAAGGAAACTCATTGTGTTGATACACATTCTCATAGTCCTTTCCCACAAGCAAACAGCATCTGAATTCAAAACTCGACACCTTTCCACATGATTTATTCGCAGATCTTTGGACCTCTATCACACCATAACATCGCCTTAAACACACAGGTACATTTTCACATTTCATTCCACCGTGACCTGTCCCCCTGTAACTTGTATGTACATGTAATGAAAATTAGTCATGGCAATAATGAAGTTTGTCTATCATGCTACAATGTCCTAATGCATAGTTTGGACCAAAGGGCTTTGTGTCTCAGCCCTTCTTGTGAGGAGTCTTTTTTTTCTGTTCGTGTTTTTCCTTGATGACTGAACGCGCCAGTGTTCGTGAGTATGAATGTTTAAAAATAGCGAGAGGTTCACAAGTGTTGTGCAGGAGTCTTCCACCTAGTGCACGTTACCCTGATTCAGAAACAGCCCTCCGCTCGTCTCTTATTTCGCCAACCTGTAGATTCAGAATATGGATGATTGGCAATAAATCTCTGTGAGGAAAACAGTCCACAATTTACTTTCTAAATACAGCCTTTAAAATATTTCCCTGTGCAGTAACCATACTCAGTCCATCTCAACAATATCCACATTACATGTCATGCCATTTAAATACTTTCTCTACAATCTTTAAGATCCATCAAAGCCTACATATTGTAACATATAACTCATACGATGAATATCTGTGAAAACAGCTCTTCCTGAGAAAGATACGTCGATAACAGTTCTTATCACACAAACAAAATAAGCAATTAAAGATTGTCTGATAATGTTTTGTAATGCTTTGTGTCTTTCAGGAGGCTCCCTTGTGGCCTCTGACCTTTAACAAAAAAGACTTGGTCAGACCCGGCCCTTTTTCTCTTGGTCCACATCCCTCAAAATCTTGGAGGAACTCAATATTGCACATTCCCACAGCGTTTCAGTTGGGAGAAAATATGAGATTGTGCTCATGTGGTCATTAGTGGGACATTATTGTGCACTTGTTTGTAAATGGGAAGCCCTTAAAGATGAATGCAGCCAGTTTCTCTTCGCCTACCGTGCGACTGTGAAAATGTTAGAGGCAGGCATGAGGAGCGATGAGGGTAATTTGTGTTTAAAAACCTTTATATTAGCATTAAGATTTTTTATAACTTAGTCAAATTGTCTTAAAAGAGTTCTCCTTCTCCAACCAGCTGCTCGTTTTATCCTCTGGATGCCAAACAGAGCCAGGTTTAGCGAGATAAATACAGCACCGGCAAATCTGTCCTCAATAGTTGCTGCAATTGTTGTTTTTCAGCGGTAACTTGTATAAAATACTAGTTTCGAACACAAACAAGTGTTTTAGTGTGGAGCCAACACTGTATTTCTGCCGTCAGAGCTCAGTGGAAGAGGACAGAGCTGGTCCTCGGCTGACTTTGTGCTCCCTCAGCCGGTGAAAATCGCTGCTCAATTCATCCGTTAGCGTCCCCTCGCTGAGATTCACTCCGTTTTCTCTCTGGTCCACTTGATCATAGTCTCTGGAGAGCGGTAGAGGAAGATGAGTTTGGCGTACATGTCCTCCTCCAGGTCCAGCTCCCCCGTCTCTCGCACCAGGAAGATGTCCGTGCACAGCTTGTGGATGCGGTCCACGTTGGGCAGCTCCTCGAACATGATGGTGTGGGAGATGCCGCTGAAGAACTCGCGTACGAACTTGCCGATGACCAGAACCACAGAGGCGTACAGGCCCAGGATCCTGGACAGGAAAGACAGAAAGAACATTGGATCATTTGTAGAATTTGGTTTTACCGGGAGTCAAATTATCCAGAGAGGTTTCCTCCTCACCACAACTAACGGAAGCGGTTATGATCAGTTTTTCTCCAAGATAGTTTTGTCATAATGTATGACCAGAAATCATCCCTGACCAAAGAAAACACACCTTTGATAAAAATCTCTGGGTTTGAAAATTATGGAAAATGTGGAATAGATTAAGTGCACAGCTCAACCAAATATATACCATGGGTCGAGTTGTTTTTAGACATTATAATATGAAAAAGTGACATATGTTTCCTTTACATTTTGATGTGATTACAAATCTTGCAGTATTTAAACCTAATGATGTTTCCCTGCTTTCCCATCTTGTGAATCATCTTGGATTCAAATCACTTTTTTATTACACTTGAAGTAAAAACCAACAGAACTTGATATTCTCACTCCTTGCACAGCTTTAGATGATGACCTATTTTTTCTCATAACAAACACAGATATTTCACTTTAACACCGAAGCACCACAAATCTTTTTTTTCTTTTTTAAATCCCCACGTACCCGTATCCGGCCAGGAAGCCCAGGCTGGGGGGGCTGACTTGGTCGCTGAACACGTAGAGATCCAGGCTGGGTTCATACTTGGGGGGGTCTAGGAGGGGGCCTCTCTTGGGGATGGGGCCGGGCTCCGTCTGGTTGACGATCCACCACTCCTGGATCTGCGCCGAGTCATTCGCTCGGATCAACGTCAGGTTTATGTTCAACATCGTTTTATCTGCATGGAGGAATAGATATTGTAACGTAACACTTTACCTCAGCCACATCACAGACTCTGCATTACATTAATGCACACGATGTACAACAATATCTGTTTTCTTTTTTATTACTGCCGGTTTTTATTCCATATTTTATTCCATTTCTATGTAAATACTGTTATATTTTGCTATATTTTTAAATATTTTTCTAGTTCTCTACCTGTGTTTTTAATGTTTGTTTTACTTTTATGTATGCACCACGAAATCAAGTCAAATTCCTCGTACGTGTCGACCTACCTGGTAATAAATCTGTTTCTGAATCTGATTCTGGTAATAAGAATAAAACTGATTATTCTGACGGCAAAGGCTTTACCTTCTGGAAACATTACTCCCTTTCTAGTACTTCTATCCCTACAAGACCTAGAGGCTCTTAAGTGTCTTTTTGCTGTCACCAAATCAAGTATAAACTATGCAAAATGTCCAGTCCCATCTACACACCTTTATACAGATGATCCACAGACGTGGCACCCGAGTCCGAGGGGGCTCGAATGAAACGAGGGAAGATCTCTTTTATGATCCTGCAGAGGAAGAGAGGCCGTTAACTGCAAACTGTTTATGCTCCTCAGCTTTTCAATATGTTCGAGTAACCTGAACTGTCAATTTGAATGACGACCAACAGAGGCAGTGAGTAGCTCATCTGCTGAGGAGTTGATAAACGTACACATATTGGCCGTTTCCGTTCAGCAGCTCGATGAGCTCATTCTTTGTCTCCTCGTCGAGATCGGTCACTCGCTTTCCTGACGCTATTTCAGCCTTGGCACCAAAAGTGAGGTTTCTAAGGTCACGAAAGGAAAACATGATTTAACATCTTATTAACCTCCAGCTGTTTGTGAGGCATACATTTTGTATTCTAAATATGAATTGACTACTTCTATGTTTATGATGAAAACAACACAAGTTCACTAGAAAAGTATGCTTAGGGATTTTTCATATTCCTGCAGGACCTTTTCTTAGTGCAAGTGCTTGTATGTGTTACTGTATATTTAAAATGTCTTGTAATTAAATATGTAGATACAACAATTGATTTGACTGTAAATCCAAAACTTTGGATGATTTAGATTAGAAGGAAGAATTGAATGTCCTTTGTAATATTTATCCTAAAGATAAATATAATTGTTATTTGTTGTTCTGTTAGATTGCTGTGTTTTCCATAAATGTTGCCTTTGGACTTGACAACGGTTGAATGATTGGAAATGTTGGTTTGATCTAGTTGTAATTAATCCTACGCAGCCCCTAGTGTAATATAATTATACGAGCAGTATCACATGGGTAGATGCAAGCATACATGATGCACGGACAACATGTGCGTACCTTTGCACGGACCAGGCCACGGTGATGGGGAAATCCTCGTCGCTGCTCAGCATTTCGATCAGGTTCTTCCTGCTGGGCGGGCTGATGGTCCACAGGCTGTTGGAGCTGCCTTTCAGCTCTGCGATGATCAGGTCCTCCTTGAAGTAGCCCTCGAGCCACTGCAAGGCGGTCTGATAACCACAGCATAAACAATGTTACAACATTTGAGCCACTTGGTGTAGAACTATCAGCCAAACACACAGAGGTGGGACTCTGAGCAGGAACCTCTCAATGAAGGAGAATTTCACCGGCTTTTAGGTTGATTGTTAATAATAATAAATTAATCATTTATGTTATTTAAGCATACATGCTGACAACATTACAAACACAACACAACTGACATCTTTGTTTTTGAATTATATTTCTCATACTCACATCGTTATTATTGTATTTCAGACAAAACAAGCCAAACTCGCTTTGGTTCACATTCTGCAGTTGTTTTTGCTGAGCGCTCATGGTGAAGATGGGCTGTGAGAAAAGGAAATGTTTGTTTATTTAAGTAATTACACTCTAAGTCTTCCAAAAAACATAATTATACATTGAACGCTGCAGCTAGATTATTCTCACTGTTTAGAAAATATCATCTTAATCCTCTGGATTCTCTCTCCCAGAAATCACGCAAACTGATCAAAAAGTGACGAGCCATTAAAATAAGGACTTCAATGAATCACAGATGTATTTACTCCCTGTGTAGATCTACTTGAACTCTTTTCAAATCACGCAGGATTAATGTAATTACAAAGGATTTTGCTTTGGTGGGAGATGTATCAGTAAAGCACTTTGCAAGAATGTTTAAGCTTGATTTACTTGATGAAAGAAACTCTGCTCACCGTAAAGCCAGCCAGCGTGATTGCAAAGGACACGTCCAGCGGCGTGTTGACGACTCCAGCCACGGACTTGACGAGGGACATGAAGAGCAGCGGGAACCACACGATGCAGATCAGCAGCGCCACGATCATCCCCCCCATCCCGTACTTCACCACCGCCTTCTTCTTCTGGCCTCGCGGCTGGGGGTACTTCTGCAGACGGACGCAGAAACAGGACATTAAGATGTGTTATTCGGCCAAACGGAGGGTTTTCCTGTCGTATTTCAAAATATCTCAATCTCAACATTTCCGTAATGGAAACATGTTTTCTATCCCTGGACCTATTTGTTGATTTCGAATCACGCAATTAAGTAAGTAAAGTTTATTTATAAAGCGCTTTTCACAGACAAAGTCACAAAGTGCTTAACAAAACAATAAGAGATCCATATAGGAGGCGTACAATGATCAATGAACCCACATGTTAAGAAGTCATAAAAGCACCAGAGCATAATTTAAGACAATAAAAACACAATAAAACAAAACGTACAAATGAAATTTAAAAACAAACAAAAATAAAAACATAGTATTAAAAGGAATAAGATCAAGCACACCGGTTACCCAAACGCCTGACCAAACATGTCTTTAAAATAGTTTTAAAAGAGTCAACAGACTAGATAATTAAGTCCTAGTTCGCAGAAGCATTTTTCAAACTTCGTATTTAAGGTATTGAATATGAACTTTTGTTTAGCTGTAGACCCTCTAACAGCTGTTTCTCCTGTTATAGATCATATTGAGGAGGAAACTAGTTCAGATTGAATTGTTAGAATATTTTTCAGTCTGCTGGCTTTAAGATTTAGAGAAAAATAAGATTCTCATTAAAAAGACAGAAGGTTAAAGGGCCTGTTATGCTTTTTGTGGTTTCCCCTCTCCCGTAGTGTGTGATATAGGTTGTTGTGCATGTAAATGGCCTGCAAAGGCTAAAATCCCTGTGTTCCCTCCAGATGGAGTTTTCCTCACACAAAAAACAATAGATCCGGCTCCACAAAAGCCCATTTCAGCATGAATTCCACCATGACAGACTCTGGCTCTGAAAGTGGTTCTCCACACTGACGGCACAATGATAAACACCTTCTCAGACTCTCTCCAGCACTTCAGGATGAAGATGTGAGCGTAGATGTCCTCCACACAGATCCAGCTGGACAGAGACAGCGAGGTGTCCGTCCAGACCCAGTCCATCACGGCCCGCAGCTCCGTCAGGAACGGCACCATACGGAAACTACACACAACACACAACACACAACACACAACTGTCAGTTAGTCTGCTAACAAATATACGAGGTGAACAAAAGTACGATTGAATTTCTTAATACAGTAAATCACTCTAATTTGTTAATTGTGTACAAGAGAAGAACAGGCCTAATAATATAAGCTATGGTGTTTGATGTACATGTTTATATATTATAGTAATAAAACACTTTTGTTGGTTTATGAACACCTATACTCTATTAAAAACAGTACAAAAAAAGTTATTTGACTTAACAACCAACACTGGCAGCCACGTGGCGACGACTTCCTTTTTTAATACTTAATTACTTACAGCCCTTTCAGAAAAAATAAATTAAATTAAATTAAATTGCATACCCAGACGTTTGTATTATTCATTAAACCCCAAAAATGATATAATATATATATAAGACACCTACTTTGAACCTACACAGATAGATAATAATCTAGTTATTTAAAGTGTAGTTTCTAAATGTGAAATGTATTTAATCAACAATAAGCTTTATATTAAATAATAATGGCAGGACAAGGGTTGAAACTAATGACTACTTTCATCATTATTTAAAGATTTAGTCAATAAACGTTAACTTGACTTATCATTTCAGCACAAAATGTAATATTAAAGACCTGAACACTAACACGTAAAAAATGGGGTGCACAATAGGCTTAAGTTAACAATAACAAATGTGGATTTCCCCTTTAAGTAAATGGTTTCCACATTTCTGAAACAGAAAGCCTCAGGTGTAATCTTGTGTGTCTCTTTGTATTCCCACAGCAGCAGCTAGACGACCGGAGCCGTGGCCCTGTTTGCCCAGCTGGAAGAAATGAGACTCCCAGATGAACTCACCCTTGAAACAGGAAGAGGTTGGCATAATTGTGGCCCTTGGTGAGGAAGTTTCCCAAAACGCGGGTGGGATAACCACAGCGGATCTGATAGGCTGACAGCCCGAAGTAGATGCACTTGACAAAATACCACATCTGAGCGACCATGTTCTCGCTGAAACGCCTACGAGGGGAAGACAAGAGAGACAGCTCGAGAAATAGGTAGATAAATAGATTGATAGCATTACAAAGTAAAAAAATGTACACATGTGGAAGTACACATTTCCAGTAACAAATATAATGTAATGCAGGATATTATTGTGCAAGAAATTGATTATTCAATATTAAATTGAATATAAAAGTAAAATGTACAGTGGGAGTTTAAGTCCAGTTCTTAAGAAAAGCTAAGGAGCAGAGAGTTCTCTTCCAGCCAGAGGTGATTTGTTGTACAGTGACTGAGTCCTTACTTTTGTGTGACTCCTGGCAGGATGAAGAACATCCAGAAGTGGATCCCAAACACCAGGATGACCTGGAAGATGACTTTCCCCAGGACAGACTTCCTGAGGTAGAGGGCCCGGTCCACCACCATGGTGCCAAACTGGATCAGCACCATGACCAGGAAGGGCCCCGGCACCTGATCCTCCGACAGCGATGACGTGATGTCTGCAGCCGAGTGTTTCTACAAGGGAAGAAAATAAACGTTAGCTTTGTCAGAAGTGATTTGGTTTCTGGGTCTAAATGTTGTTCTAAAACAAACTATGGAACTCTCTCCCCCTTCACATCCAACAGTCTGACACGATCACCACATTCAAGTCCATCCTAAAGAACAGTTTTTTCCACCAGGCTGTCAGGAGGCTGAACTCTCTCCCCCCTCTCCCCCACTGGACTATAACTCCCCCACACACTCAGAGACTAAAATCCAGCACCAGACACTTTTTACGCTGCTATGGACAATCTGGCACTAATATTTTGCACATTCTATGTACAATTTTGCACTAATGTACATTCTCAAATATTGAAGTGACTGTTGTTTTGTATATATTGATTGTTGTGTTTTTATGTAGGTCTTAATGTGCGCACATGTAAAATAGTGTCTTTGATTCTGTGTATATTTATACATATTTGCACACATATTTTTATATACATTTGTTTTTTATATTCGGGATTGTGGGAAGCGGTATTTCGATCTCTCCGTCTGTACACACAACCCGGAAAATGGACAATAAAGTTGACTTTTGACTTTGACTCCTCAAAACCCACCTGTTAAGTTCAGCCTACTCACTGTAGTGCTCCCTATCATCTGTGTCCACTTTAATCGTCTTCTCCATGATGGTATGTTTGTGTTTTTATCATGTTCTGTTGCTTTTACCTCTTAGAATATTTAACAAATTGCACGGTGTCCTTGGGTGTCATGAAAGGCGCCTTAAATAAAATGTATTATTATTATTATTACAACTTACACCAAACGCCCAGAAGCCGAACACGATGATGATGAAGTCGACGGTGTCAGAGAGGAACATCAGCACGTAGACGTCTGTGACCGCGCTGTACTCCGGGTGGATCAGGTTGAAGAAGAACTGCCTCATGGGAAGGTAGATCTCCAGGAACCTGAGAAGAAAAACAAACAAGTTTCATTCATCACCAGAGGCCTATACTGCGAAGCCGGATTTTCGCTTAGCGAGCTAAGGGAAAAATCTGGGTTTCCGGTCCTACGACGCTGGTTCTCTTCTTAGCGGGCTAGATCTCCATGGTAACTTATGCTGAACGGCTAGCCTGGTCCGGAGCAGGTTAGCCGTTCAGCATAAGAGATCAACTCAGTGAAAACACCGCCTGCTGACCAATCAGAGAGCAGTGTGCGGAGTTTAAAGCGATCAAGTCATATTACAGGAGAAAGGAAATACAGAAAAACTGCCGTTGCAGGAAAGACGGCCGGCAAAAATCACCGACTGTGTGAACGTGAAAATTAATAGAATATCACCTCCATCTTCAGAGCAATCTGACTATTATAACATTAGCATTAAGAAAGCTTACTTAAATATCTGCCACAAGGTAACATAAGTAACCGGATCAAAGTAACATTACGTACAGTCCGCGGCACTGAGTGCAGACGTCGATGTGTCCCATTATCATTCATATCACATCATAATGTATCATATATCTCCTTATCTGAGTCAGCTTCTTGAGCCGTATCTGGCCGTGCAACACTTACAGTGTTACAAAAGTATTATTTTAAGCAATACATTAAGTTGACGAAACACTCGAGTCAAATGTAATTAAAGTCAGATCCACTTGTGTCTTAGATTTCTGTTCTTGATACATTTCTCTTTAAAAGCCATTACACAAAGATTCTGACCTTCATCAATGTTTTGGGATTTGTTCAATTTTCAGGAACAGAATCTGGTCTTTTAAAAATAATGAAACACTACGCTAGCTTTGAATAATTTACCATGCATCTTTTTTGTGTTGTTATTACTAATGACACTAATTAATATGACGGCTAACGTTGTTTATTTCCTCCACTTTAGGAGGTTTTGTTTACATATGCAAACCAAAGTCTCTTGAATTTCAGTCTGGGAATTACTTCTCTGAATTTTATATATTTCATTTATATATGTGCACACAGTTCTGCAGTCTAATCTTCTTTAAGTGGTCCGGTGTTAACCTGTCTATTAGGATTACCTCACACACACACTTATTATATAAGGTGGCAATGGGAATATTCATTACAAGACACAAACAATTATGTAGTTTAAGAACCTGGCATGAATCTGACATACCATTCTATTCTTAGGACCTTTCTCAAGAACAAGTACCAAAAAAAACAAGTGAATGAGGCGATATTCTGAGCAAAAGGTTCAGGAGGGTCTTTCATCCCTTTCTTAAACAATAAAACAGTGTATCTGTGAGTCTGTCAGCATGGGATTGTAGGAATGTATTTTGTCTCAGTGATTTATAAAGCTCCCTATAGCCTTTGGATTTTTAAATGCACAGTTGTTTTACAATGGAATCTTTGAATTAGAAAGGCTATTTAATTGCATTTGTGTTTGTTTGGATTTTATGACCAATTCTGTCTGACGTTGTTTGTCTGTAACTCGTTGTTTGAGAAAATGTTAACGATTTACTAAATGACCATTTTCTTTGTGTTTCAATTACAGCTGCAGACGTAATATCTCAGAAACCACTTGTTCCTCTGTGATTAAATCAAAACAGTAACATGTTTTGACTGTCTGTTGCAGCACTTACAAAAATGACACTGCTGGCCAAACGGGAAAGCGTAATTAAAGGTCTAAATGTAGACCTTTGAAAGGTTTTAGCTGCAATACATCACTGATATCATTTTCCATTATTTGTTTGGACTTGCTGAGCACAGTTCTCATCAAAGCCCTCATAAAGTTACACACTTTCTTGTGTAATCACGTGTGTTGGCCAGTGAGCAGCCGTGGATTCAGACCGAAAACCCAACTCCTGTGAGCCAGCTGTGCTTCACCGTACCGCTTAATGATGAAGGCTTTCCCCTTGAGGAGCTGCTCCCTGAGCTTCTCCGTGATCATCTGTTTTCGGGTCTTCTGATGGACGCTGGCCTCGCTGCCGTCCTTGTGGCTGCCGTGGTGGGAGGCGGTACTTCCTGTGGAAACAATTTACATTTCCAGCTGTGAATGAAGCGTGACGAGTCGCTGATAAAGAGATGAGATTCACAAACACAAAGACTTAATTCAGGGGTGAAGGCTAAACAACACAAGACATGTTTTTGTAGTAAGAGCTCAAAGGATTCCTTCTCTATATTATTGATGTTATGGATATTATTGTAAGAAGAGGAAAGGCTATGCGTGCTACAAAATAACACAATTCTCTCAGGGCTTTTTAAGGGGAAGAGTGTTAGTGATACATTTTCTAATATTCAGCCTCATGTTTGATTGATACATTTATTTCGAAAAAGTAAAATAAATAATTCCAAAACAAAAAAAATGTTGCAGTGCATAGTCATGTAAGAGAAATCAAAACAAAAAATAACATTTACAAAAACAACAACAACATTAGCAACATAAACAGTGCCACATCTAGTGTTCGAAAAGAAGTGAGAAGAAGTATAACTTATTTAATCTCACCCCCTTGTCCCTAAATGATTTATTTATAATCTATAATCTGCAATAATTATCATTTTTATACATTATTATTGATATTATTAGTATTATTAATCTGCTTTACCTGTTGATTGACATATATACATATACATACACTGATATACATATATGCACACATACATATACACACCTACATACTCACACATATACACATACACATAGTCAAACACCTTCCCCATTCCTGTACCTCGAGAAAATAATTTCCTCTTGAACTGGTTCATGTCTGGACATCGCTTTAGCTCCACATGTTTTAAACCACTTGTCTCGTTCAATGCTTCTCAACCGTTTCGAGTCGCATTGATTGCTCCAAATTTGTCTTAAGATGCATCTTTAAATGGTAAATTGAATGTATTTTGTTAACATATACAAGTCATTATTCATTCAGTGCCAGAGGCTGCCATAGAAGATGCTACCAGCTCAAACTCACAGCCACCGTTGTTCATCATCTTGTCTAATCACACTTTGACTACAGGGATTGAACCATAACCCTCTAATTGATAGGCGACCATCTGTTCAGTAATTTTGAGCTATTTTCTATCTTTTAGTATGTCATACATATATAGGCTAATTATATTAAAAGCTAAAACGTTAAATATATCTCTCCAAAATACAGTCAAACAACTGACCAAGTGTCCTCTGCCATGCAAGGCCCCAGAGTGATAATACAATGTCTTGCTAAGATTGTTTTGACTGAATTACCATGAAAATGACTCATCATTAGTCCATCCTCCTTAATCACTCTTCAAATAAACCTTTAGATTGTACTGGAGAACACCGAAGCTGGAATTAATATTCCATCACACCATCTTCTTCCTGAGCCACAACATCGGCACTACACGCTGAGAAGTGGTTTATTGCTCTTTGGTTTCTAAACATTTTGGCATATGATTACTATAGCTGTAGGAGCCACATGTGAAGTATTTCTCTGTGTCTGGTACATGTTTTTTGAGTCACTATAGGTGGTGGGCGTGTCATTGGATTTGTGTGGTGATGTTTGTGGTTATATCCGGTTGCTTTTACCTGTGCACTTTGTGATAGATGGAGGGGGAGTGAGCTGGAGAAGGACCATTTTTGTTGATCGCACGCACGCACGCACGCACGCACGCACGCACGCACGCACGCACGCACGCATACACGCATAAAGGAATATAGGCCTACGCATATGGATATGGAATGTTTGCTTTGGAAATAAAAGGTCAAACGCATACTTTTGGAAAGACTGAGTTTTTGCGCGTCCACAGTGTTTTTTCTCTTGTTTAGTCCCTCGCAGCACTTTATTTGGATATTACTAACTGCCGCAATAATAGCCTAACAGCTAAGCATACATTACATTGATACTATGGGCGATGTAATCTAAAACCCATTTACCATTTCCTTTTTTCTCCAAAACCCCCAGAAACAACCCAGCTCAAGCACCACTAGTTTATCCAGTAGTAGAAACCAGAGACCAGAAAAGAATCCTCACCTCTCTTGGACCTCACAGTGGAGTGGAGAGATCGGTGAGAAATGTGCGAGCCTCCGCTGGAGCTCTTCCGCCGCTGGAAGGTCTGCTGCTGCGGGTACTGAACCTGGACGTGACCTGAATCGATGGAGGTGCCAAAGTTTAAGGACCTCAAGGTGTGAGTGGAGCCTCTCTCACTCATCATGGAGGAGGCGCATTCAGACCCCTTCTCACTCTCCTCTGATTTACTCTTTCCCTCGTCCTCTGACTCGCTCTGACGGGACGGCGCTCGCCTTTCTTTGGAGTCTTCCTCGTCCCACAGACCGTGACACTGCAACGAAGACGAGGAATTCAGGGATTAATAAAAGCTGTATCATATTTGCACACAGAATACTTAAGTCTGATAAAGGGAGTATAGTTGCATCATTTACATTTAAAGGTCCCCTATTATATTGTTTTTCATCAATATATCACAGGTCTCAGATATATACAAACATGTCTCTGAAGTGTTTGGCTCCAATCACCAAACAGATAATCGCAGCATTACCCATAATCCCCTCTGTTTCAGCCCTGTTTCCAAAGTGCTGATTCTCTGTCTGTTACTTTAGATGAAAATAAGGAGCCCCTCCCCACGCCCCTCTGAGAGAGATTTGGTTAAAAAGAACACAATGGTGCTCTAGGAGGAGATTCAGGTGATAAGGTGGGGGGGGGGGGGGTTACCTTGGTTGGTGATTGGCTATTTTCAGACAGGTTTTTATAGAAATGGATCAGGACAAAAAGAGAGAGAATCTTTTTTCCTGAAACTTTCAGAATCTCTTTCCACAGAGGGGACACACGTTGATGTAGAAGAGACATGAAAAAGTGGATTTTTCACAATAGGTGACTTTTAATATGATTCACATATTAGTATTGTCCAAATATTCATTTTGCAGGAACCTTCAGGATGGATCTGTGGAAGAAGAGAGCCAGTAACTGGACCAGGTCGTAGTGGACGTAGCCGTCCTTCTTCTCCACTCCGATGATGTTGGGAGGGTGATAAGGTTTGCTCTTATCCATAGAGTTCTGGTTGAAGGGGAAGAAGCCAAACTGGAAGAAGTACTTGATGAAGATGGTGACCTGGTGGGAAAAAAACAATATGTTACAGTGAAGCTACAGTCAGGATAATGGCACAGTTTCATTAACCATTGATATGTTAATGTTACTCTTAGACTAGAATGCAATTGTAATAATTAAAACAAATATATATATATTATGTCTTTTTAATTTGTAACCATCCACTCCATTGGGTGAAACAGCTGCATTTTACTCAAGGATGGCATATTTTTTCCTTTTAATCAATACATAGCACATATACATTTTTATATTATCTTATCTGTGCATAAATGTCCAATCTTTTAACTCCTTCCTGTTTGGAGTAATTGTCATGCTCGTTTTAACTTTTTTTATTAATTGTGGAGAGCAGATACGATTATTGTTATTCTATATTGGAGCTTTATTTCAAAATAAAATGCCCGATACATGAGAAATATTGTCACCAACACTAAGAAAATAACTGCAGATTTGACTTGGTATTTGATATATTAAAATGTTGATTTACGCACTCAATGTCCACAAATATTAAAACAAAAATACTTGTTTGGGATGTTGAGTGTAGCTGCGAGGAAAGCAATCCCAAAGAAATGGCTCAAACCAAACAGCCCATCTATATATGATTGGTACGATATCATTTATGAAATCTTCGTAATGGAAAGAATAACCTTCTCTATGAGGCTCCAGGAACTTACATTTGAGGACATTTGGAAGAAATGGAAAGCGTATATTACCCCGATACGCCCTTCTTTTGTTTAACTGTTGTTTTAATGTGTTATATTGAAAATAAAACACCCCATGTTCTTGTGTGCTTATTGTTGTTGTTTTGTCAAGGAAAAGAAAAAAGACGGACCACTCTGTAAAACTATTTAACTACATATGTATATGTACACTGAAGTGAACAAAAATGTTAAAAAAATAAAAATAGATTTATTGGACGTGTTTCTCTCCGTTTGTACCTCAGTATAGACGATGGCCGTCATCCAGTAGCGCTTGCTGGGCCGCGGCACGGACAGCATGGCCCAGAGGAAGATGGTGGTGGGGAGGACCAGGGTGGCGCAGTTGGCCGACACCATGTGGTTGATGACCATGACGAGGTAGCAAACCATCTCTGAGTGCGCCACCAGCATGTTGTAGAGGGCGTAGCACAGCTGCAGGATCAGAGGCTGCTTCACGTAGAACCGGTCCGACTGCTCCAGCTCCTCGTCATAAAACATCCTGGACAAAAGGAGACAGATTGATTTAGTGATTTATAACTCTTGGATTCCTATACATTACAGAAACCTGATTTGTTCAGTTACTTTAAACTTGCAGATATTTCTAGACTCACAAAAATAACTGCAAGTATATGGATGGATTACTGAACAGGGCTGACTGGCACAGGCCAAGGGGTTTATGGGATTGTGGGGAACTGACACAAATAAACTACAAAGTAGGGCTGCACTTGGAAAAAACTGACATTGCGATTTTTCCCCCCCTGCGATATATATTGCGATATGAAAACATACAGGAATTGAAGAAAAGGCCGGTTTTTTCCCCCGCAAACCATCCTTTCTTGAACTTTAATGCTATACAATTGGTATTTTTACCGGATGAAGGATTTCAGTCACGGACGTCTGGATCTTAAGTTATCAGAGCAACAAGCTGAGCTAGCTCGGTTAGCAGCGCCGAACTGCCCTGGAGAAACACATGAAACTACTTTTACCTTTAATCTCCGGGTCCGTTTGCTTTGGAGGTTTGGTTGTGATTGGTGGTTTGCTGTGCATGCAGAGCCAGCATGTCACTCACTCAAGTACCCCTGACATGAGAGCTGCGCGAGTTTTCCTTTTGTAGCAAGCAGCAAAAATAATTGTATCATGACGTGTTTGAGTTAATTTGCCTATAATATCGCACGTCCTAAAGAAAATTTAAAATTAAAAAATCTCACGTCCTGCGGTGTGAATATTGCGCATGCGCATATTACGATTATCGTCACGACACAAAATATCGTGCAGCCCTACTACAAAGGGACCACAAAGTAAAGCAAACTATAATATGTCTTCAAAAAGATTCAAAAAAAGTCTACAAAGAAGTGCATAAAGACCAAAAACAGGTACAAAATAACCTCAGAGTCAACATGGCTATAAAGAGACAAACAATTGACCCAAAAAGACCAAAAGGAGATGCAAAATGACTGAAGAACAACGAAATAACGCAAAACGACTACAAAGAAATGCAGAACGATGACAAGTTGACAAAAACAACAACCTACAGACACAAGACAATTACAAGAAGATGAAAAATTACAAAAAGGTGAAAAATTACTTGGTGCAATTTATTTAAAATGATTAAGAAACCAATATAAATCTGCATCCTAAGACAACTGCTTTGTGTGACTCTTCATGCTAGAAGGCTTCAGTTTGTCGACTCACTTGTTGAGCAGCAGTTCGCTGGCGGTCAGCTCGGTGGTCATGGAGGGCAGCATGAGGTCGGACCTGCTGTCGGAGCGGCTGTCGGAGGTCATCAACATCCGCCCCCCCCTCTTCCTGTCCATGTCGCTTTCGTCGTCGCTCAGCTCCAGGCGGTCGAAGCTGACGGCCTTGCTGTAGCTCGGAGGAACTTCAGCGTCGGACGTTTTGGAAGCGTCTGTGTCAGGAGTGTAAATCAGCCCGACTCTCCCCTCTGTGGGGGTGAAGCCCGGCTGTCCTGCCCCCTCCTCACTGTCAGTGGTGAAGTCCTTCTCCTGAGCGGACTCTGTCTCCTTCACCCTGAGCGAAGGGCCCTCATCTGGGCCGAAAGAGTCCCAGGGAGCCCTCTTTTCTCTCTCCTGCTCCTTTGGTACCTCCATCCCTTCCTCACCTTCCTCCTCCTCCTCCTTCTCCTCTTGGTCCCTGGGGTCTGCATCACTCCAGCCGTCCCCCTCGGCCCCCTCACTCTCGTCCAGCTGTTGGGACTCCCAGGGAGCCGCCTGCTGTTTGTCTTCCCCTTGATCGTGCTCATCCTCCACTTCTTCTATGGTGTCTGTGGTGCCCTGCCTGGAGTACAACATCACAACCTGGGTCGCTTCACTGCAGGTGGGAAAAAGAGCGGAGTTATACAGAATATTCAAATGATAAAATATTTGCTTGCTTGCACTTTTCTCAGCAGTAGCCAGGTGTGCCCACATGCGATAATATAATCTATTAACACATATATCTTTTGACGCCTTTTTATTTCTAACCATCCGTGAGTTTTGCTGTAACTGAATTATTTTTAACGCTACACCCTACCCGTGGATAAGGCATAGGTTTTTCATTTAAATAATAATTAGTACAGATAATTTATATTTAATAAATGGCTTATGAGACACTTTTATGTGATTAAAAGCAGTATTAGTGTACAGTATTTGTCAACACGTAAAACATCAGTTAAATGGGTTAAACTACATTTGTATTGAATTAACTGAAGAAAATAAAGAAGCATTGTATGTTTATATGAACACTGAAACAAGAAAAGTGATATTTATTACAACCCTGAATTACTGCAAGGCAATTGCTGAGGAGGAACAGACCATACTTTGTCAACAGCTTTTCATATCACTGTTATTAGGTAAAAACCTTGTCTCTCAAAATAATTAAAATAAACATTTTGTTGTTATCTTTGAGTTTTTGACCTGATGCAATAAACAAAATGGAGATACAGCTGAAGTGAGAAATCAACAGGAAATGGATCTTTTGATAAATCATGATTGAAGTGGGTGAAGATGAGAACACAGGTGTGTGTGTGGGGGATGTAGAGGCCAGGCACCTGGACATGAAGCTGCTGCAGCTGTCCACGGAGGAGGTGGAGGCGTCGAGGCCGTACATCTTGCGCAGTTTGGGCCGGGCGCGCTCGCTGGTTTTGGGAATGCACTCCGGCATCCCATCCAGGTCTTCCAGGGTGGATTGGCGAGAAAACAGATTGGTGGCCTCGGTGTACCCACTGAGAGGAGTGACAGGTGATGATTAGTGATGAGGGGAATGAGATGGGGATGTGAGGTCACACTGACAGGGGATACAAAAACGTTGAATCCAACCTTACCGTGAAATGAAAAGGAATTCAAACCTCATCATGACAAGACAAAAACATGAGAGTGAGGATGAAATGGTTCAACTTGATGTTATAGAACTTACTTATGCTAGTAATGGCTGCTTTGAAGGGTTGTTTCGACTTTTGCTCATTAACCCCAGGGCTATCTAGCAATGCAAATAGTTTAAGTTGTATTGGCCAAGGGTTTGCAATCTGTCTTATACATTTCAGGGAGTGACGCAAATGGAATATTGTTTGATAATGCCATTTTGAAAAATCTAATATTTTACTTAAAACCTGGTCGACCAGAAGCAAAACAATTTGCATGTGTTCATAAAATAAGAGGATAGTAAGTAAACAATTATTGGAGGTACCCAAACCAAAAATAAATCCACATCTGGAGCTACAAGTGATCATAAGAAAGCACGTTTTAGTGTTTAGACAACGTTATGTTTCAGTACTTCCTCCTTGACGATGAAACATTTCTTAGCGACAAATCACGTTGAAAAAACTGTGACAAATCTGTACCAATGTGTGACTTGACAGGGTAAGAGCATGGTACATGTTACATTAATGTCCAGTCATGCTTTGGTCAATAATTATTAACATATTTGTGCAATAGTGTTTATGTATATGGATTTACATTGCTTGTTTTCTTAAGCGTGACGTAAATGTCTCTTTCTCCTGTGCAGAGAAAAGTTACAATTCTTTAAGTGTACTACCTGAAAAGGAAGCAGAAAGTCCCTGAAACATTGACTCTTTTGGTCTCCCATGTTGCATCGCTTTGCTCAGTGTACCTGGAGATGCTGTCTCTGGAGGCCGTGGAGTCCTGGCTCTCCATGGGGTACGGTCTCCTCCGTCTGCGCAGCCTGGTGGAGGCCGAGGCCGAGTCGTCCTCACTCAGCTGATCCAGGCTGGCCTGGCGGGACATGTTGAGCTTCATGGCCTTCTGGTACAGGACGTGGATGCTGTCTTTGGACGGCACGTTGCCCTGGGGGAAGATAATCATTCAGTGGTCCTCTTAAAAAGGTACAATATGTAATCGTCAGCAACTAGGGCTCTCTTAAACAAACAATCAACAAATGAAGTTTGGTGGAAAGTTGGTTGTTTTCACCACAATTGCCATCATTTCATTTAGCGTCTCTGGTCAGGATTTCTTTATTGTTCATTATTTAGCAGGTTTTTACCGGGAGCACAATTATCTGCAGAGATGTCCTTCTCTCCAAAAACAACAACATGGTGTGTAAACAGTTAAAAGCATAGATTATGTCATTTCAAATTAATGTTTCTTTGACAAAACATAGGATTACACAAGCTTTTCGCCAACATTTGCTAATCTTAGCTGCTATAAAAGATCTAGATGTCTGATGACTACAATTCTTTATGTGGTTATGGTATATATTTTAAATGTGTTTATTATACTTTTTTTTAATCTTTCGGGATAAGACCGATCATAGGTCTCGTATTTACACATTTTGAAAGCTGAAATGTTATATATTTGACCTTTTATCACATTAAAGGCCTTAAGATAGCTAAGAAACTGTTACATAAAACAAGAATATATTGCATTAAAACATACCTTTTTGACCTCTCTGGACAGCATGCAGCGCTCTATTCGCAGCACCGTGGAGATGTCGATGTACTCTCGGCACATGTCGTTCATCCACTGCGTGAAGCTGTCCACCGTCGTCTGGAAGAGCACGAAGGTGAACTTCAGGATGTTGAACACTCGCTTGATGATGTTATCTGAGGGAGAAAATGAGACAAGAGACTCGCATTGATAAAACTTCAATAAAGAACTTGCTATATTGTGGCTGTTAGTGGCTATGAGAAAATCACAAGGGTTATTCATGATTCAATTCAAGATTTAGTATTTTGACCATGGAATTTAATACCACAAAATCACCAACCTGGACCACTTGACTTTTCCTCCTCTGGTTTGTCTTGCCCATCTGAGAGCTCACCAAGATCTATGGTCACATGACCTGCTGAAGGACAGTAAAGACACACAGTTACAGTTAAGAGACATGAATTTCCTTCACACACACAAATGACTTGGAAGTCTGTTTAATGTGAGGTTTTTTCTCCATAACTTGCTTACCATCTTTCTTGCTTTTTTTACGTCTCACTACTTTTGTGTATTTTTTCCAAAATTTGCGTTTCTCTTTGGCTCGTGCTCTTAGAGCAGCTTTGGGGTCAGTGATCCAGGCGTGATAAAGAAACTGGAGAGCAGAGAGGATCAATGAGAGGAGGTGAAGAAGAGGAGTCACTGAGATCAATGATGTCAAAGCAACAACAAATTGAAGGAAGACTTAACACAGACCAAAACTTCACTTTTTAAAGTCACTTTTTTGTGATATATTACTACTGAATGCAATGCTTCTCAGCAGCAGAGACTTGCATTGCTTACTTAAACACTACAACAAAAGCCTTTGTCAAAAACAGTCAAAAGTGCAGTACAAACTTAATAAATCAACAAAGGCCTAATATTGGTTGTGGTCGACTCCTGCATTTATCAAGCAGGTTTTCTATATTCGCCAGTCTTCAAATGTTTAATTAATACACTGAATCCTGCACAAACAGTAGCAAAACACAAAAATGGTCTTTCATTAGGGATCAGGCCCAAATACTAGCGCTAATATTGTCTTGTTAACCGACAAATGGTTTGTTTTTAAAGCAGAAGACAACACGGAAAAGGCAAGGCAAGTTTATTTATATAGCACCTTTCAACACAAGGCAATTCAAAGTGCTTTAAATAAAATGAAAGACATTAAGAAAATAGCATTTAAAATCAGTCATTAAAAAGAAAAGATAATAAAGTAAACATTAAAAAGAAAAAATAAAGCCAAAAATAGACATTTAACACAACCAATACCACGTCAGAATAAAACTCCAGTTCATGCTACACACTTCGATCACATGCAAAAGAGCTCAAAGCATTCCTGTTCCGGCTTGTGTTTGATGATTTACGCCAAATTAGTGCTTGCTTGTGAAAATCATTGTTCACTGAATCTGTTTAGGTTATTTCTGTTCAAAAAGATCACCAAGCATGAGCTGGAAAGGCAGTTTTGTGGCGTTAGTTGGTACTTTAAGATGTTCATTCAGAGAGCAAGTGTTGTTTCTTAGTTGTGGTGTTAATACCTTTCCTGCCTTCACTACATACTGCAGGATAGTTTTAGGCAGCTTGAAAATAGACTTGGGCAAAGCTATGAGAGCAGAGACAAACTTCCCAATAGCTCGCTGCAGAGAGAAAACAGAGCGGGAGGGGGTTAGTAGAAACATGACTTCATCATATTAGAAACATCAGAGGTGACATGTGTTAGGAGACACATCATGTTGTAGTCAAGGATGCTGGCAGATGGAGATGAAGGGATTTGTTATCACATTCTCCTGAGAGTTAGTATTCGAAACCTTCAATCATTTGTGTAAAAGTATTATTAAACTGTGCAAGCAATGCATGCTATTCTAGAAGTGTATGAATTGTCTAGCACAGTGCTTCTCAAACTTTTTTCAGTAATGTACCCCCTTTGAAACATTTTCTCAGCCAAGTACCCCCTGGCCGATCCAGAACATTTTTGATCGAAAAAGCCTACATAAATAATTACAATATAGTGATGTTCCCTCAGTGTGTGATGTATTAACTCCTTCGTGGTATGCATTACAACAAACTAAGGATATTTTTACTTTATGCATGAAAAACAACAACATAACACTTTTATAAAACAGATTTTTCCAAGGAGTTTTTCAATTTAAGTAATATGTTATTGTGAAAAACTATAAAATACAATACACACATTTGACATGTTTATATGAGGACCCCCTTGGTGGTTCTAGGAATGTTTTATATAAAATTGTGTTTTCTATTTAACTTATTTTACTAAGATTATTTTTTTTAATCTCACGTACCCCCTGCAGTACCCCAACGTACCCCCAGGGGTCCGCGTACCCTCATTTGAGAATCACTGGTCTAGCATATCAATCTAGTCAAATCAGGGGTGGGAAGTAATTTACTTTATTCTTTTACACTACATTTCAGAGGGAAATATTGTATAAAATACTTTTCAGATTGAAGAACTATATTTAAAAAAAGTACCTCCACTTGCAACAGCGAGAGTAGTTGGTAATGTTGGAAACACTTTAACATGTCAATATAACAATAACTGCAAGTAATTCAAATGATGATATTTGTATGTTATACTTACTGTTACTTAAGTAAAGGTTCTGATTATTTTTGTTATATTATAAAGTGAATGTAATAAAGGAAATGATTTCCTTACTTCAAAATGCAACAGTACTTGACTTTGTTAAGCTTTACCTCATAGCATCTTCATCAATATTAAAAACATGTAATCAATCGATGAATTAACAGTGACGGAAACCGAATACAAATCTTGCTAGGGGAGGACTTTCATACTATGCTATAATAAAAAGAAAGAAAATACAATGAAATAAATATTTGATGTAAGATCTTTCCACCAATCTGTGCTACACAAGCCATTTTTGTAAGATTATAATACTTTTTTATATTAAAAATAGCCACATTTTGAGGCAGCGACCAGCTCAACTTCCCCTCAGATAGAAACTGTATTTAAGATATAGCTCTTTGGGCTTCATATGTAAATCTGGCTCTGATACTAGCCAGTGTTTGTGTTGTCTCCTGGGGTCTGTAGTGCCCGGAGTCTGTCTTTTTATTTATTTTTCTCCCAAACCCCATCCCCTCAGGAAGCCTGTGCCTCACTACTACTACTACTACTACTACTACTACTACTACTACTACTACTACTACTACTACTACTAGTGCCTCCCCATCAACTGACACTGATGTAAGAAATGAACCACTTCTAGAAGTCACCTGAAACGCAGACTTCTTTGGCTGATCGTCCTCCTTTTTCTCCTCCTCCTCCTCTTCCTCTTCACTGTCAGTTTCAAACAAGTAATAGTCTCCACTTCTAACCACTGAAGAGGCAGAGTGCAAATGCAGTTACACACAATCATTCATCGTTTTTTCACAACAAAAAGTTCCCTTACTGAAAGGAAGAACTTAATAAACCACTTACCGTTAATTCAATGTCATTTATATTAAACATTAACTACAGTAAGCAGTGATATAGACACACATTTAAAAACATCACAGACATGACAGGATGAAACAGAAAATGCAGACAATGTTAATATGACTGATATAACTGTGAGCAGAAAGCACAATGAAGGGTGTCTGTTAGAGACTCTTTTATTCCACATGTAAGCCTACTCGACAGAGCAAGTGACTCCGGTCAGTGTTAGAAGCAATAGGATAGACGAGGCTGACTTGTGTCCTTGAGCAGAGCCGCGTTGGTGCGGGAGGTAAAAGGAGGATGCTGGGAGATGAAACATCAAATGACAGAGAGATAAAAATAGAGAAATAATTGAAAATGTCATGTGGGGGTGGAGTACGAACTGAGACATGAGTTCAAACCAAACAGGCGACCTCTGTTCTGATTCAGGAACATTTTTAATTGACCACAAAAAGATTTATTTTAATATTCAATCACTAGTTTTAATTTCCGCCTGTCTGGTGATCATGTCTACAGGCAAAGAATGAACAAACCCTTCATCCTTTATTCCAGTACTGATGAATAAAGGCGAGTCGACTTCATATCTTTGCGTAAAAATGTTTTACAACAGAGAGATTCCCTACTGTGGGCTTTGTAGGTGAGAGCGATGATGGTGTTTCAAACAATCTCAAGCACAGACCTCCAGACATTAGTCTTTTTCTCTTTCTTCATCGTGTCTATTTAAGGCAACCCTGCTACTGACACTCAGTTTTACATAAGGTCTCAAATCCAAAGTGCCTCTTCACATGTAGTGTACAGGAAGTAACCGGTAGTAATTCAATTTCCCTCCCAAAATAAAACAACATGAGGAAAGGGTTCCTATAGCTACGGGAGGAAAGGGTTTCTATAGCTACTGGAGGAAAGGGTTCCTATAGCTACGGGAGGAAAGGGTTCCTATAGCTACGGGAGGAAAGGGTTTCTATAGCTACTGGAGGAAAGGGTTCCTATAGCTATGGGAGGAAAGGGTTTCTATAGCTACGGGAGGAAAGGGTTTCTATAGCTACGGGAGGAAAGGGTTTCTATAGCTACGGGAGGAAAGGGTTCCTATAGCTACGGGATGAAATCTAAGACCAACAAATGTTATGTTATGGTTTCATGTTTAACGATGCAACCTTTGATTAAGACTTTCAAAAAGTAGATTCAGGACATTTTAATAACACATAAAGCCTTATTTTAATCTAAATGAATTCAATTATTTAAAGACTTTTTAAGGTTCTGTGTTAATCAGTCTTATTAACAACAGACCTATAGTTACCCGTTTTGTAAGCCCTTTTATATAATGCATTATAACATACTTATGAGTTATATGATTTAACTGCATGCTAAAGATTCAAATGTATTACAACTATTGGAATTATAATACACTATGAGCCTTGCCAAATAAAAAAAAAGTATGGTACCCTTATAAGTAATTAAAAAAGCTGTACAACGTGGTATGATTATTGTTGCATAAAGCATAGTAAAGATTTACGAGTGCTTATACAATGCTATTAGCAGATTATAAGGTTTTATAAGTAGGTAAATAATGCATTATAGACATATAGGAAGCGCTACGACAATGTTAACGGAGTCCCACAGGGCACGGTTTAATACCCCTTTTTTTTTTAATTTAAGCTTTTAAATTCATCTTTAAATGAAGCATCAGCTGTTAATGTCTATTTTTAATAGTTTTTTTTAAATTGTAAATATTTGTTTTGTAAAGTAAAAATAATGTCTATGAGCTATTGTGTGTTGAAGTCGCACTATCCTCCTTTTAATGCCCAATTTCATCGTTCAATCTAAATGTATTTTTTATATGTCTACTCTATGCTATTATTAGTTTGTTTTTATGTATTTTACTGATAACTGTATTCTGTGTGATATCAATGTTCTGTGAAGCACTTTGGACTGCACTTGTTGTATGGCAGGTGCTATACAAATAAAGATGATTATTACTGGATGTATGCGTATCCCCAGTGATGCTCTCTATTCTAATATAATATGATCTATTTTAAAAAGGGCCCTTAAATAGAGACAGAAAAGGACTAAAGTCTGCATGTCTGATGGTGCCTTCAGGGCCCCGGGGCAGTATGGGAATCCTCAGCGTTCTGGTCAAGGACACAAGGGCCAATCAGAGTGGAGGAAGAGAAAAAAGAGGGTTGGGGGTCAACCTACTGGAAGCATGGTCAACCCACGGCCTCCACCACTGCTTTTTTTTGGTCTTGGCTTTCGCTCGCTGTGCTCCTAAAATTTCACAAATACATCAATACAACATTTCATAAGAAAATTCATTCTTGAGCAAACTTCAAGGCATTTCTTTGTTCTGCAGTAAGCTGCTCTGTTCTTTTTTAAGATCAAATACTAATGCAAACACAACATATATGAATGAATGAATGAGATTAAGGCATTAATGAGATCTGTCTTGATGACTAATCAAAAAGAAATAACACAGTGGTGGAATATAATTAAGTATATTTACTTAAATTATGTACATAGGGAACATTTTTGACATACTTGTACTTAGGTATTTCAATTTTTGACATACTTCTATTTCACAAAATTTCAGAAGTAATATTGTACTTTTTACTTCACAAAATGTATTTAACACATATAATTACTATTAAAGGTAGGGTAGGTAAGAATGAAGAAACCAGCTCGAGTGCGCTAGAATTTGAAAATACACAGCCGAAAAAAATCTGCCCCTTCCTTCAGACTTCCTTACAGAGCCCCTCCTCCAACACACACGAACGCCCACATGACCAATGAGGGCACGAGATAAGTTTGTGCCCAGATGGAAGGCTGACAGGCAGGTAGGCCATCCAATTATTATAGCCGGGCCGGCTCAGATGATTGGTCGTGCTTTTTACAGCGCTTCCAGAGATGACATTTTTTTATGTATCTATTGTCAAAGCATTTAATATATTCATTGCTATCGGGATGTTAAGAGCATTCCATGGAATATGACAAAAAGTGTCTCTGAAGTGAATTACCTACCCCACCTTTAAGTGTAATTGAGTGTAAAAATCTTATGAGTCTTTACTCTTCTATTGAACTATAATTTTAATGAACATTCGTATGCTTTTAATTTCACTACATTCATTTGACACTGACAAGTAAATATTTATTATAAAAGAACGTTAATCGGATGCATATATTTGACATATTCTTAATAACGTTTTTTGCTACTTATACTTAAGTATCTAAAATTGGCTTTTAACATTTAATTTATACTTATATTGCACTTAATGTCATTAAAAAATAATCATGCTTTGTATTCCACTTAATTGAATTGACTTATAGTTACTAGTTATTGTTTACACTCAAATCAAATGATAAACTTGTCTATAAACTGTATACAATATATATTATGATGTTGTTTTGAATGACTAAACTACCTAGTAAGTATCTAAAGGTATCCAAACAAAGTACATGATTACAATAAAAACACAATAATATAGTATTATTAGTATATAATGACCATGGTATTTCTACTTTTCCTGAAGTAAACTATCTGGAACTTCTTCCACCACTGCCTCAACACATTCTGCTAACACTGCCTGCACCGAGGCGCTTGGCAGCCTTCGTCATACCGTCATCTTCCTCCTCCTCGGGCTGGAAGAGGGTCTGTCCTTCTCCAGACTCCTGCGCCATGCTCAGCATCCTCTCCTTGCCCCTCTTAAACTTTTGCTGCCTCACCTTAATGCGCTCCATCCTGATTAGATCAGAGAGGCAGTGAAGAGACACGAAGTATCGACACAGAGAAACATCACCCACACTAACAGACTGACCGTAAACATCTCTGGGCTTCGTGTATAGAAATGAGTGTACGTTATGAAACAGTGGAGTGCTCATTAGAGCGGGTGAGTGGATGTTATTATCAGGGCTTATGAGTAAATCCTGAGGTAAGTGTAAGTGGTGGAAATACATTGACTTTACATTGTATGATATACTGAGCGATGGCTTCCTGGAAACAGTAATGAGCGAGCCAGGAGTTGCTTTTAATACAGAGCCGGTTTTAAATGGCCTTCTGAATCATGTCTACTTACTTATGGGCTAAATGGAGACTCATCAAATATATTCAAAGTCAGGAACTAGATGTTACCGTGCCTGATGTTATCACTTAGTTATCGTGTAACTATATTCTTTGTTTTCTTATATTCAACAAATCCCATAGAACAACAATGCATTTAATCAATTTTTAAGAAAAGCCTGTAGTAGTTCCTTACAAATACACTATAAGCTACAATTTTGAGTAATTGTTGCTTATAAAAGTTCAAAAGCACCAAAAGAGAGACTAAAACAATGTGGATTAGGGTATTCAAGAAGTTATGTAAATGTACATTTTCTTATCAAGTGTGAAAAGATACAAACATATTACAATAAGTGAAATTGTGAATAAATGAATTATTTGGAGTCTCACTGTCTCTTCAGCTGCTCCACAGATTTGCGCTCCTCCTCCAGTCGGGCTCTCACCGCCTTCACGATCGTAGCTTGGAAGAGCTCCGCCCCTCTGTCAAACACACAAACGTTCAAAACATCCACTGTCAGAGAGTCTACGTTTGATCCTTCTTTAGTATTTACTAACCAATAAAAAGAAGAAGAAGAAGCTGTACTGGGGAAGACAGTCATACAAGGAGCCAAGTTACATTTTAATACAAGAACGGCACCTTTCTTTCTCCTGCATGTCCCTCATTAGTTTCTATTGTGCAAACACAAAAAGGCTAGTATATCTTCTGACTATACTGACACTAAACTGAATTTGTCCTATTTCTTGATACAACCACACACACTCTTTTCTTCTCAGTCATTAACTCTGTCCATCTTTACTTGTTGTCTGGATAAACATTTCAAGCACTAAGCCTTAAAGGTTCCCTGTTTTTCATCAGATATATTATAGGTCTCAGATATATACAAAACATGTCTCTGAAGTGTTTGGCTCCAAACACCAAACAGATCATTGCAGCATCCCATAATCCCCTCTGTTTCAGCCCCGTTTCAAAAGTGCTGATTCTCTGTCCGTTCTATTTCGTATATGGCTTCGTCCTCTAAGGCTATCGCTATTGGGTAATCCCCTGCGCACCCGCGCAGCACTGAAACACTTGTAGTCCACGCCCACCCGCAAGGTGGGCCCCACCCGCAAGGTGGGCCCCACCCGCAAGGTGGGCCCCACCCTCGGGCTCCCTTCCGGTATAAATAGGAAGGAGGCCCGACAATCTGCTCCCTCTTTTCTTCAGCACCCCGTTACTGAAGCACAAGAGACACTTCATTTGCAGAGTAAACATGAGTAACAATTGTGTTAGAGATTGTCCCTCATGTGGCTCTGGGTTCATAATGAGTTATGGTATGCGAATCCTGTCCGGGGTCAGAGCACGCGTACGCGGCTCTAAACCAGCAGGTAGCATGCACACACTGTGCCTGTCTCCCCTCGGGCGACAGGAAGCGGAGAGCGGACGCTCTCGCTGCTGCGGCCGAGGAGGACGATTGGCCCGTCCAGGCTTACGAGCCCGCGGACGGGGGCCTCGTGTCCCTGGGGCCGAGTGCCGGGCAGGAGTCCGATAACTCCTGCCCCGCCTCCCTCCATGGTTCACCGTTCGGTTCTCCCCTCCCTCCTCTCCCCCGGACGGGGGAGACAGAGTCGGAGCAGGGTGCCAGCTTGGCGGCCGAACATGCTTTCCCCTTCTCCGTCACCACAGTGCTACCGGCGATAGGTGGCATCCTAGGGGAACTGCCGGAGATCATACACAAGGTGGCCGCCTGCAGAGATCTCCCCGTTCCCCCAGCTCAGGAGAGGTGTGCTCCGGAAGACATGACCGGAGTTTTTTCGCGGGTGCAGACGGTCAGGAGTGACCCGATCTGGCCACGCTTCCCGGCCATCAGGAGGTTCCAGGAGGGGGCGGAGGCAAACTCGAGGACCCTGAAGGCTCCGGTGGCCACATTTGTTCCCCTCACCAAGGTGGAGGGGTTCGCAGATGCTGGTTTCCCAGCCACCCCTTCTCTGGAGCAGAGCCTGACGGCGTGTTTTGGGGTAAGACAGGCCAACATAATCGCCGGACGGCGCCCTACGTTGAGCGTCCTACGTTGAGCGTCCTACGTTGAGCGCCCTACGTTGATTGCCCCCAGAGACCAGTATGTCGCCCGCCAGGCCGACCGGGTGCACCAGTGTGCTCTCTAACTCGGTGGTGACGCTGGTAGAGTGGTCCACCACCTTGGCCGCTGACGAGGCAGAGGAGATCAGCAAGGCGGCCAGCACGGCGCTCACTCTGTGCGCGTCCGTCGCTGTCTCCCAGGCGAGGATTTCCACGTGGGTGACACAGATCCAGCGCCACCTCTGGCTGCAGCAGGCGTCTGTTACGGAGACGGCCAGAAAAGTGCTACCCGGACGCTCCAATCAGCCCGGACGAGCTGTTCGGACCCCAGTTCCACGCCATGGTGGAGTCCATGAAGACGGCCGCGGAACAGGCGGACGACATTCGCCAGCATGGGATCCCCCTGGGTCTCTTCCAACAGGGGGAGACCCCAGAGGTGGTTCATTTGTTGCAGAAGCCTGCTGTTTTTAACCTATTGGTTTATAAACTGCAGAGCTCGCGGCATTCCTCTGTCCCAGAATGCTGACGATCAAACAGGTGCTGGAATGTGTTCACCAGGACGACTGGTTCACTTCCATAAACCTGAAGCATGCACATATACTTCCATGTACCCATCATCCCGAAACACAGGAAATCCCATGCGTTTCTCATTTCAGGGAATATCAGACCAGACAATCGTCTGCCGTTCAGATATTCCCTGGCTCCTCGCACATGTTCAAGGTGTGTAGAGAAGGCTGGAGCCACTACACAGAGGAGGGATGAGAGTGTGGTTTTATCTGGACGACCTGCTATTGCTGGCTCGCTCCAGGGAGGAAGTTGCTTTACAGACGTTACATCTCGTATCGCATCTGTCAAAGCCTGGGTTTTTTCATACATTGGAAGAAGATCTGTCCTCTTCCCTCTCAGACAATCATTTATCTGGGAGTGGAATTAAACTCAGCCAGCATGAGAGCGCGGTTCTCGCGGCAGAGAGTGGAGAAACTGACAGCTCTCCTCCAGCGTGTCACACCCCGCAGCGTGGTGACAGCCCTCTCCGTGATACAGCTGCTCAGCATGACGTCAGCTGGTCACGTGGTGATACCCCTGGGTCTCCCCCACAGGAGGAGTCTCCAGAGGTGGTTAATTCGCCTGCGCATCGACCCCGTGCGTCAGAGGTAAATGTGCTGGAGCTGCTCTCCATTGGGAAGTATTCCAGCACTTCGCCCCGTTGCTGTACAATCAAACATGTGTTGATTTGCACAGACAACAGGCCACGGCAGCCTACCTCAATCGCCAGGGAGGAGTACGATCTGCGCAGCTTCTGAACGCAGCCAGGCGGCTGCTGTTCTGGGCGCGCACACACACGTTGCTCTCCATCAGAGCAATGTATATTCCCGGCGAATTGAATCGAGGGGCTCGAAGAACGCAGCAGCTGTTTTATGCGAGGAGTACGGAGACTCAGTCCTGTGTCACGCGCACTGGCGCCTCAGTGGGATTTGGCTTTGGTGTTGCGCGCACTAAAGCAAAGCCCCATTTGAACCTTGGACCAGGTTCCCCTTAAAATGTTGTCAGCCAAAGTAGTATAACTTTTGGCTCTATCAGAGAAAAGGGTGAGTGATTTGTCTGCTCTCCCTGTGGCTCCGTCATGTCTCCGGACCCAAGGAGATGGCAGTTCAGCTGTTTTACGCCCTAACCCGGCTTTTATGCCAAAGGTCATCACAAGCTCTTTTAGGTCGAGAGTGATCACCCTGGATGGCTTCTTTCCCCCTCCTCACAGGTCGGAGGAAGAAGCCGCGTCTCATCTCCTCTGTCCTGTGCGCGCTGTCCTGCTATGTGCATTATAGAGAGCGCTCGATGGGGCAGCCTCTGTCTGCACAACGGCTGTCACATTGGCTGTGTGAGGCTGTGTCGCAGGCATGTATGTCTCCTCTGGGGTGGATCCCCCGGAGAACATCAGTGCGCACTCCACCAGAGGAATGTTCCTCCTCCACGGCTTTGCACGGAGGAATGTCAGTGGAAGACATTTGCACTGCTGCATCTTGGTCTTCCCCCTGTTCATTATTCAATTGTATTTGAGGGATGTCTCCCATTCCTCTCTGACACACCCTGTACTGAGTGTCTTGTCAGAGTGAGTGACGTCAGGGATCCAGCTGTGCGCCTCTCTCCTGCCTGTCTGCACACAGAGAGCTGCTGTTCCCCCTGTTTTTATCACTGGGCAAAGTGTGACCTTTGTCTCTACTTTTTCACAGCGGCAGGTATGTATTGTTCCCAGCCTTCGTACCCTCATGGAGAATATTCATGTTTTGCTATATTCCAGGGACGGTGATGCGCCACTCGCATGGCGCAATAGGCTGGGTTACTATCTGAGCAGGTGTGTCTGTGCTTCTAGTGCCGGGCGGACTCAGTGGGGCGCAGACATCAGGCGCAGACATCATGCTTCGCCCTTAACCCAATAGCGATATACGAAATACTACTGTAACTCCAGCTTCTATGAGTATTGGCGTAGCCCTCTAAGTGCTGGGCCCCACTGGCTCCACGAATAGCTGAAGAAAAGTTGTTTTGTGTGGGAGCAGATTGTCGGGCCTCCTTCCTATTTATACCGGAAGGGAGCCCGAGGGTGGGGCCCACCTCGCGGGTGGGGCCCACCTCGCGGGTGGGCGTGGACTACAAGTGTTTCAGTGCTGCGCGGGTGCGCAGGGGATTACCCAATAGCGATAGCCTTAGAGGGCTACGCCAATACTCATAGAAGCTGGAGTTACAGTAGGTAACTTCAGTTACTTCAGATGAAAATAAGGAGCCCCTCCCCACGCCCCTCTGAGAGATATTTGGTTAAAAAGAACACAATGGTGCTCTAGGAGGAGATTCAGGTGATAAGGTGGGGGGGGGGGGTTACCTTGGTTGGTGATTGGCTAATGGTTACACAAGCCAACAAATCGTTATGACATCCTAAAGTGGCCAAAATCTGATCATTTTCAGACAGGTTTTTATATAAATGGATCAGGACAAAAAGTGAGCGAATCTTTTTTCCTGAAACGTTCAGAATCTCTTCACACAGAGGGGACACATGGTGATGTATAAAAGACTTGAACAAGTGGATTTTGCATAATAGGTGACCTTTCAAGTGCTTGTGTCTTCATGATTTCAAAACAATGCCTTTGCAGTCAGAGCATCTCTTTGCATGGGGATGGTTCAGCTGATCTGTGTACCTGCAGGCGAGGATCTGCGACGCCCTGATGTCGGCCACCACGTGCAGGAAGTAGTAGCTCATGAAGACTCGTCTCTGTAGCAGCAGGAAGGCGAAGCAGATGCTGTCCCAGATGATCCCCGCCTCGTTGCTGGGCAGCTCACACTTATACTCTGATGATAACATGGTGAAAATATGGCTTTATTAGTTTATTCCACACATGGCAGTTATTTTAAAACAAAACATGTACACTTATACTGTGTATTTTTTATAGCGCATGGTGGAAAGGAGAAGGGAGAAGAAAATGTTCTTTTACCGGCCCCTTCTTAAAAAAAAGAACAGAAAAAAAAGAAATAACCATAAAAAAGTAAAATAAAAGCAATATTCTTTCAGTCACAGTTGCTTACAAATACTGAAACACAATCAAAAGTCAACTTCATACTGTCTAACTACGCTTTCTTTATACATTTTTTTAAACATAACATTTTTCTTACAGACCTTTAAATCATAATATGAGTTTAAATTCTCAAGGGTGTTGATGTAGACCAGTGTTTCTCAAAGTGGGGGGCGCGCCCCCGACCGGTACATTAATGGGAAACCCTAAATGTTTGAGCACCCTCTATGAAACGTCAAGCTACCCCACAGCACCCCCAAAAGAAAATCTCTTTCCCCGCTCAGAGACCCAGGTCGTTGCACGCATCTCTGCTTGTCTAGCTGACATCTCTCAGTGGATGTCTGATCATCACCTCAAGCTCAACCTTGACAAGACTGAGCTGCTCTTCCTCCCGGGAAAAGATTGTCCCACTCTTGACCTAACAATCAACATCGGCACCTCAGTTGTTTCCCCGACTCAGACTGCAAGGAATCTGGGCGTGACCCTAGATAACAACCTGTCCTTCACTGCAAACATCGCTGCTACAACCCGTTGCTGCAGATACACGCTTTACAACATCAGGAAGATACGTCCCCAGCTGACTCAGAAAGCGACTCAGGTTCTGGTCCAGGCTCTCGTCATCTCACGCCTAGACTACTGCAACTCCCTCCTGGCTGGTCTACCTGCATGTGCCATCCGACCTCTGCAGCTCATCCAGAATGCAGCGGCTCGTCTGGTCTTCAACCTTCCTAAATGTTCCCACACCACTCCGCTCCTCCGCTCCCTTCACTGGCTTCCGGTAACTGCTAGAATCCACTTCAAGACACTGGTACTTGCTTACCATGCTGCGAATGGATCTGGCCCTTCGTACATCCAGGTCATGGTTAAACCGTACACCCCAGCGTGTGCACTACGCTCTGCATCAGCCAAACGACTCGCTGCACCCTCGCTGCGAGGGGGACCCAAGTTCCCATCAGCAAAAACACGTGGGTTTGCTGTCCTGGCTCCAAAATGGTGGAATGAGCTCCCCATTGACATCAGGACGGCAGATAGCTTGCACATCTTCCGGCGCAGACTGAAAACTCATCTCTTTCGACTCCACTTCGAGCAATAGATTTATTAACAAAGCACTTGTATACTAATAAAGGACTGGCTTACCTAAAGCCAGTTGAGTAGCACTTGAAATGTTTGGCTCTATGAAACCTGATGTACTTATATGATTCTGTTTTCTTCAAGGTTGTGTCTTCCTGGTCGAATGTACTTATTGTAAGTCGCTTTGGATAAAAGCGTCAGCTAAATGCAATGTAATGTAATGTAATGAAACGTCAAGCTACCCCACAGCACCCCCAAAAGAAAATCTCTGGCGCCGCCACTGAGCCTGCAACCCCGTTTTGAAGAAATATGCAGTGCAACACAGGCTCATTGCAGCCACGTCTCGTCCGTCCTCGTCGGAGGAGGTGAGTTAGTGGCTGTCTTTTTTTATTGGTGTTTTATCCTATGTATTACCTGCTGCTGTTTTATGCCTTTTATTCTACATTTTATAGTTGTACTTTGAATTGTGTCCTGTGTACTGTAAAGCACTTTGTACATCCGTGTTGAGAAGGGTGCTGTATAAATAAAGTTTTACTTACTTTACTTACCTGTGATAAGACACACTTTTTTGCCAAATATCAGCATTTTCTTTCTTTTCATTTGTTTGCACAGATTGCAAAGCGGCAAAGTATAACTTATTGTTCTAGCAAAGGGATTGCACAAAGTATTATGTATTTATTTTGTTGAGCACACAGACTTATGGAGCATTGTTTTATTATCACTGTTCTAGCAAAGGAATGCTCACGTTCATATTGATGTATTTTAATAAATGTTAACTTGGCCCATTACGTGACTATTTGTGTTGGGGGGGCCCGACTTTTCTTTTTCTCCAAAGGGGGGACCTGACAGAAAAAGTTTGAGAACCACTGATGTAGACCCTTATTTTCTGATAGTTGATGAATCTGTTTTGTGGCTTTGTTGTGTATTTACTGTAAAATGAATTGACACAAAGATGCATTGAACTAAAATGGCCCTGAAAGAAAGGACTGATAAATAAACAAGGCTGTGGTTTAATTTTTTCTTTTTTTTTCTTTTTGTGAAACACAATCTTATAATAATAATGATAATAATGTATGACTAGCAGTTACCACCTATTGAAGGGACTTTTATCACCTTCTTGTACAGTGTTTTGTCGATGTAAAAATAAGTAAGCTGTTGTGTCCACTCCACTCACCATCGTTTGCTTGGATGATGTCGATGTTGTATTCCTTGATGGTGCAGGCCAGACTGAACAACTGGATCAACCAGCAGCGGTCCTTAATCAGAGAGTTGATGTAGCCACAAGCCAGGATCTACGAACAAAAACCCTTCATTATAAACCTGAATGCAATACATTATCTTATATATTACATCTTCATATCTTAAGTATCATCTCTGATGTGAACTCTATCTTAAAATACTGAGAAGAAGTTTAAACTAATGTGATTTTCTTCTAAATTCATGAAATAGGAAGTTTTAAAATCATAATATTGTATCACCTCATATGAACGGTATGTATGATTTGAATATATGATGTGAAGAGGTGGACGATTCTCTCTTGAAAGAATTTGTATTGATGTCAATTGCCAAGAATCGTTCATTTTAAACCAAATGTTCAACTTTATGTATGTCCGTAACAATTTTGTATGACTGGCAGTGTTTCCGCCAGATCAGGGCTGAGAGGGCGTCCACCCCGAGAGCGGAGGTGGAGGGGGGGTGCTTGAATTTTGACTTGAGACGTCCCTTATAGATACTGTCTTTTTACATTAGTGAGCCGGATCATTTGGCTCGGCTCTCTTAAAGCGCTGGCTGTTTCGGCTCCCAAACGGCTCTTCATGTTACCACAGTTTACCACGGAGCCTCAGTATCGCCGCTGCGAGGCTCTGGTGCTCGCAGCTCACGCGCGTGCTCCACTAGCACCGCTCATCGCATCCAAATCGCGCACGTTCCGTGTTGTCCTGTAGCAGGCACCGCCGATGTCGGGGAAACGATCTTCAATACTCCGAAAAGAATCCCACCAAACTCCTTTGCCCTTCCAACAGAGGGATGTCCTTTTTCCGTTTCGTTATTTCAAGCGATAAAAACTCTCGATCTTCTCTCGAATTATTAATATTTTTGGACGCCCTCGGCTCGAGTTCAGGGCGTCCCGAGCTGAATAAGGGCGTCAAATGACGGCAAGACACCCCCTGGCGGAAACGCTGATGACTGGTCTGCAAATGAGTTACAGCTCTACCAATGAGACATAAGGGATGAAAAACCTCAATTGTGTTTAAACTGGAACTTAACTACACCAATGTTTCTATAGTTATACTTGTGTTTCTGTTGGTTTGTTTCAATGCCTGGTTAGAAAATGATATAGTTATTTTGATTACGTTCCTGCAATAATTGAAATGTTCCTGATATACAACTCTTGATGGTCTACTCACAGACAACACGTTCTTCATGGTGATGACAAAGATGTTGTAGGCGATCAGGAAGTCCCAGTAGTGGAGGATCTTTTTGATTGGTTTGAGCAGCAGCTCTCCACCAAAGAGCAGGAAGTAGAAGCAGGCCACCAGGTAGCCCATGCAGAAGACGCTGATGCGCGTCGTCCCCGTGATGAAGATGATGGTGAGCACGAACCAGAACAGGTAGCTGAACATGATGACCTTCAGCATGTCCAGGTACGACCTAGAGGACAGTGGAAAAACCATTATGTCAGCACTGTTTCAACAAAATGACAGATTCAATATATAGATTATTTTTCAGATACGTTGCCAGGTCTAAATGTCAGAGAAATGTCATTGTTTGTTTTATTACTCTAATTCCTAGAAGTGATCTGGCTTAAGTGAACGAGACGTAAAGTACAGAGCTAACTAGCCGGCTGCATTCGTGCCATATCAACATTAGGAAACACATTATTCCAAAACAGCTACCCAAAATTCAACGCTGCAGTCACACCTGATACATAGAATCATAGCCTAAATTAGATTTTTATTATTGCAGCATTTTAAGAGGCAATAAATGTACTGTGTTTACTATTCAGCTACTTTAATTTAGCTGCATTTGTGCTGTTTATATTGGATGTTACATCACTTTTTTTATTTTATGCAACTTTATTTGCGTTTTCGGTACAATTCTAAGTAATTGTTCCGCCCTATTATTGTGACTTTATTGTTTAATGTTGAATTAAATTAACTTGAGATTGACCAAAGTTTATGAGCTGAATTTTACACGGGGTTAAAAATAAACAACATGGACCCTGGCCATCTGAGCTAAATTGCCAATACCACATCATACCATTTGAAACAGTATTCCAGTTCATTGTGTTGCTGTGAGCATAATCCTCCCATCAATCACACTTAGGGTACTGCTTAGGGTCAGGACTCCGGTAAGAGTCTGATCGATGATCGTGAAACCAGACTCCTGTCACTCAGCGCAGGTTCATAATGGTCACTTCTGCGTGTGTGTACAGTAACATGCTAAAAGCATTTGAGTACCCTATGTTTTCAGGTGAGAGACCATCAATATGATGTGTGGAGAGGATACATAGGAAGCAACTTGCATTAATTGGATTGACCTGAGGAAAACATGGGACCACAACAGCAGCTGCACTGTTGAGGAAGCAGCTGTGATGAAGTGGGTTTGGATCGGACGATGCGTTGATGGGCCGGAATCGCTGAGTGAGTGTCCTTCTTCATCAGGGGGAGAAAATACCTTCTCCATACTTAAAAGCTATTTATTGAGTTAGAGTACAGGACAAAAGCGCCTGAGTCGCGGAGTGACGGACAGAGTGTTTTTGTGGATTATGGATTTCTCCCCCCACCCCGTATCCGTAATTGGATCCTGGAGGGAAACGATGGAATAAGTGCAGAGCTGCTGCGGCGCGTACAGACGGGCTGTACTGCTCTCTTCTCTCTACTAGGGGCTTGTTGATGGACACAGAGTGCGTTAATAAAAGACTTGTCCACTTTGCGCATCAAAACAGTGTGGAATGTGAAGAGCACATAATCAATGACTGTGGACAGGTCAGGATGCTCTCGCTGTCTTTCTGACTCGCTGTCTATTTCCCTGCCTCTCAAAGAAATCTCTCTTCACTCTTTTCAGGTGAAAAGTCAGTATCCTGCTCTGAACTCAAATATCGGACAACAGCCAGACTTCTGTATATACAATGGGTCTCTCACTAAGCTACGGTCATCTGTCTCACCTATATTTGTCTAGGATAAAGGATTTGCTGAGAGAGTGTGTTCTTATTCAGCACCACTCCACTTAGGATTGGTACAGTAACGCAGAAAGCAGCCAAGTATAACAGCAGTGTTCTCCTGAGTTAGCATCGGAGCAGCTCCACTGGAGAGGAGTCTTATTAGACCGACTTCTGAGGAGTATGATGCCTTTCTTTATACTTTTCTAAATGTACCCGACCAGGGAGGGAAATCAAACCTGCAGCTTGCTTCACTGGCTTTCACCCCATCACTCAACTCAAAGCACTAATTGATCAATTACGTCAGTCACATCCTGGTTTGCAATAAGTATTTCTCTTCTTTTTCTTTCTTGGGGCAGAAGAAACAAGTCATGAACCAGACATTAAAATGTTTAAGCTATGATAGAGTTAGAAAACAGATGTTTACTTACAAATTCAGTTGTTTTGGAGAAATTGTATTATTGATTTGCATTCATGCTTGTATTCACATGATGAAATGCAGTATTTACTCTGTTTTAACGATCTTGTCTGGTCCCTACCAACTCCTGGAGGAAATATCTGGCACATTAGCTGCCAAATGTTCCACTATTTTCACCCGCTATTCGCTAACTGTGTCTGTCTGCTGTTTGGTGTTGAGCAGGTTCGGTACAGTGGGTTTTACATTTTTTTAATAAAAACAGCCACCTCTTTAATCTACCAAATAATGCATTTTGTATCAGTGTATAATCTAGTAAACCATAGACCTAAATAGATATTTCTGCATTGGTAGGAACAAATAACAAATATGGTGAAACTCTAAAGTTTGTGTTTTCCTTTTAAAAACGTATAAAAAAGTGTTACTCTACATCAGGGGTGGCCAACCAGTCAGAGGTTAAGAGCCACATTTTTTCTATGTTACTGCAAAGAGCCACATCAAACACACTGATACCGCTTGTTTCAGTTTTTTGTTTTCTGGAGACAAGATTTCAACCACGTCACTGATGCATTTTTGTGGCATTGGGATATATATTTTTTAAATCCTCTGGAGCAGAGAGAGGAACTGTGGATTATTGTTATTGATTAATGCATCAGTGTTTCTTAGGGTCAAAAACACTAAACTCACAACTTGAAATGAAAGCGTTTAGTTTATTTAATAAAAGAGCACGTGTTCAATGTGAAAAGTGACAGTAGTTATAGATTATTTGCAATTTGGTGCTATATAATATATTTAAAAAAAAAAAATTATATATATATATATTTTAAACACCTTGAATTTCAGGGGGTGCGCGGGGCTCCGTTGGCGGGGTGCAGCGCCCCTCCAAGACAATGGTAGGGGAAACACTGGATAATGTTTAATCAACGATAGGTTTTCCCCCCCTCAAATGTGATTGGTTCACTGCATCGCAGGTATTATTGTGATTGGCTCTTGGGCCACATCAAAATTAGACGCGCTGGCATCCTCTCATACTGACACCTGACACCACACATACACACCGGGAGCCGGGACGAAAGTAACACGGGACGAAAGTAACGGAGCGATTTTATCCGAGCCCAAACAACTTTGACCGGCCAAATTACGTCAGAATGATCAGCATTCGATACTTAACAGACCTACTAAATATTAGGTTTAACTCTGAGGAGTAGTGTTGTCACGGTACCAACATTTTGGTTTCGATACCAAGTCAAGAATTGCGATTCCGATTCTTTTTCGATACTTTCTTAAAAAAAGGGAAACAGTCTTAAATGTAATTATTGTGCTTTATTTCACACCAGAACCATAACCATAACACAAACTTTTAAACAATGAGAACAATAAATAAAGTAAATGACAAGAATTCGTATTAAATCAAATTAATACATGTCTCACAGACAGGCCGAGGCGCAGCGGCAGTTGCACTCCCACTTGCAGCCATGCTTCTCGTTTTCTCACATGCTCTGGCAGCTAGCGCGTGCACGAGAGAGGGGAGGGACTTAGAGCGTGCTTGAGAAGGGAGGGACTGCAGGCACGGCTGCAGTGCAGGGGGTGGAAGCAGAGCACTGAACACACACGGCTCTTATTAAAACAGCGCTTTCTCACCGGAGTACTTTTCTCCGTCATTCTTAAAGTACCGATACTAATGAAACGGAGGAATCGTTTGATTGATTGATTGATTGAAAAGTTTATTAACAGCTTGTATATTGGGTACAGTACAGTACAGCTCAAAACATACAATTGTTAAGGGGATGCAGACCAGAGAAAGACTTTCGTCTTGTTTACATCAGGGTCCCCCATTTCCAATTCATCATGTCATTTAAGACATATAAGACATATTTGACATACAGATGGCTTATTTACATACAGGTGTTTTTTTTTTTTTTTTACATACAGATTGCTTGTTTACAATTTTCATTTTAGATTTCGTTCTAATACATCCTAACCGGACATTTAAGACATACCAAGTCTACAGATATACAGTTAGTAACAGAGTCTAAAATGCGAGTATATACATAGATGGGGGGGGGAAGCTGTCCATTGAACGACAGGTTGAGATGTGTACCATTACCGGGGCCATCGTAACGTTTTTAACGGCAGGGTATTGCGGTACCTTTCAAGTATTGGTACACCGTGCAACACTAGTCAGTAGTCAGTGTCTCTCCCCCAAATTCACACATATAAAATTCGATATGAACTGAAGAGCCGCATGAAACTAGGCAAAGAGCCGCATGCGGCTCGAGAGCCGCCGGTTGTCCACCCCTGCTCTACATAGACACCACAAGCATTCATAAGATAAGATAAGATGGACTTTTATTAATCCCTCGTGGGGAAATTGTTTCTCTGCATTTGACCCATCCTAGTGTTCGGAGCAGTGTGCTGCCATTTTGAACAGCGCCCGGGGAGCAGTGTGGGGAACGGTGCCTTGCTCAGGGACACCTCGGTAGCACTTGGTCTTGCCGGGACTTGAATTGGTGACCTTCCAGTTGCCAAGCTAAGTCCCTATCGACTTCACCACCACCGCCCTATCCATACAGTGGGATCGATGTAACCCATATATTATACAAATACAAAACCTTCTTAATAGTGCTGATTGTTTTGAACAAATCTAACATCATGACTACTCATTCAAGCACAGTATTAAAAGGTGGCTCATTGCAAACCAACAGTGTCAGCACTGATGTGTGGGTGTAGGTGTGTGCATGAGTGCGTATTGTAAATGTTTTATTTATTTATTATCATGACTTGCTCTTATCTGTAGTCAGTGATGTCATCTATTGTAAATATGTACAATGGTATAACAATGTTGTGGTATTTGTATTATTGCTTTTAGGATGTCTATCACCATCTGGCAAAGGGACTATCGATGAAAACTAGCCTTTTGGCTAATTCGAGTACATGTTTTTAATATGTTGATTAATGTACACTGTCCCTTGTTTTAAATAAATCAATTCAATTCAATTAAGGATCAATTTAACTGGCGACTTCACTTCCTCTCCATGTATGCATCTTGTCCCTCTTGGTGATGCCGGGCTCAAATGGCATCCAAACTATAAAATGTTTACTGGTACTGTAAAATCTAATATAAGTGAAATAAAAGTCTCGGATCAAGTGCCATAAACTTTACCCAAGTAGCTCTGATAGGAATAAAACAGAAACATACTTGCTCCACTTCCTGCTGCAGTAAATGTAGCTAAACATTGATGTACGTTTCTGTGCCTAGGGTGACCAAGCCAAATGTGGGACAAAATTACGTTTGTGCGGACAATGCGGGACATGTTACTGCTTCGCTAAGAGCTAGTTTACAATTAAATATAATGTCTATCCAACCCTTAAAAATAAAAATGTCTTCAGAAACTATTAGCTTCTAAATATTATTTACAACGCTTTACTATGGTTTAATTGTTTACACAAACTATGCAAGTGAAGTAATAAAAAATATCAATTTTGAATGGAATTTTTTTCAACATTTTTATCATCAATAATATTCTCGTGTTTTTGTGTCTGGGAATCTCCCTCCACCGGCTACACCCATAAGTAAATCAATGTTTTCTGTTGATTGATTGACATCTGACACAGCTAATGGTGATAGCCCTCTCTTGTTTTCTCAACACCTTTGGATAAAAGCCAAGTTTTAGACGGGCGACTGTAAATCAAATGCGGGACATTGGCAAAATGTGTGAGAACAATGACAAAAATGCTGTGCAGTCCCACACAAAGCGGGGCAACTGGTCACCTGCAGTGGATGAAGTCGGGGACGGGGTTGTGGACGCTGAAGGAGGCGGCGTCCAGATCTCTGCAGATCTCCACGTTGTCTCCAGCCATGATGCGGACCGCCGCCTTGTTCTCATCCTCAAAGACCTGCCTCTGGAGCGAGGCACACAGCAGCAGCATGAAGTCATCTGGAGAAGAAGAGAGGAGACATTTCACTTGTGGGGAAAATCTTGGTCGTAATAATACAAGAAACTTTAAAGGTCCCCTATTATACTGTTTTTCATCAATATATTACAGGTCTTAGATATATACAAACAGGTCTCTGAAGTGTTTTGCTGAAACACCAAACAGATTATTGCAGCATTACCCATAATCCCCTCTGTTTCAGCCCTGATTCAAAAGTGCTGATTCTCTGTCTGTTACTTTAGATGAAAATAAGGAGCCCCTCCCCACGCCCCTCTGAGAGAGATTTGGTTCAAAAGAACACAATGGTGCTCTAGGAGGAGATTCAGGTGATAAGGTGGGGGGGGGTTACCTTGGTTGCTGATTGGCTAATGGTTACTCAAGCCAAAACATCATTATGACATCATCAAGTGGCCAAAATCTGAGCAGCTCATTTTCAGACAGGTTTTTATAGAAATGGATCAGGACAAAAAGAGAGAGAATCTTTCTTCCTCAAACTTTCAGAGTCTCTTTCCACAGAGGGGACACATGGTGATGTAGAAGAGACATGAAGAAGTGGATTTTGCATAATAGGTGACCTTTAATGACAATTGGTATTATTACCTGCGATGAGGATAGAAGGTTTAAAAAATAGATTACTACAGAGTTTCTTCAGAATTTCTGTGATTGAAGAGAAAAAACACCCACAAATCTCCGAGATTAACAAATGTACGCAAAATAAACTTTTTTTAGCAACCACATGGCTTCACTTTGCTGACTTGGATCATCATCACACCACAAAAGCCCCTGATACATTTACATTTTAGTGAGGAGGTGCAACAGTATGGAACCTGGTTATATAACGGCGTCCGTGGTGTTATGAGGGTTATCACACCTTGTAATGTTAAGCGATGTGGTTCCTTGACAAACATTTGTTTTTTTCCTCCTAGATTTATGAAACATTTATGGAGTTTTTCCTCCTAAATTCAAAGCATTCATTCAAGTTATTTTCTCTGAATATTACCCAATTTGTAATAATTTATTTAACCTACAATGGCCCTTATACACATTCGCAATAACCACTACACATCTATAAGTGAAAAACCTACAGATGAGGAACGATGGATTAGGCGGGGTGCGGAAATCTGGAACATAGAGCCACTTGACCACATTGGAGTCAGTCGTAGAGTTGGGAAACCTCCAGGGATAGTCTGAAATGAAAACATACGCCATTATCATCGGACATATATGATTTATGATTGTGGATCACTTTAAAAGAATGGCATTTATGACAATTAAAGCTTTGACATTGAAACAACAGATGACACTTCACAAATGCAGAGGAGCATTTCACATTTTATGCACTAAATAATGACCCCATTGACTGTAAAATGCTCGGTTGATTGATAGTCTTTGATTGTGTCCTGATATCAAAGCAATAAGTACAATCTGGCCTTGTTGTTCACACAAACCTTTGCAGGCTGCTGGCGGGATCCCGATGCAGATAAAGTACTGGAAGGTCAGCATGACGGCGAGGAAGAAGCAGTATTTGGGCCAGATCTCAGCGATGGCTTTCCTCCTGCGTCTGTACATGACTGCAATCAGGGCGAAGGCGTGAAGCATGGCGTAGAAGTCCATCCGCTGCCCGATGACATTCACCACGAGCAGCAGGCACGTCTGAGGCAAACACACAAGGAATACAAACATTAAGTGTTGTTTTCAAAAAGAGGATATATTATGCAAATGTTCAGGTCCAAATACTCTCTTTCCACCCACTCTGTCTGAAACCAGAGCCCAGTTTTCTCTGATTGGTCAACCACTTGGAGATGCCCCGCCCCTTAGCCTATCACGTACAATGTGTTGGAGCGCTAGCCAATGAAAGCGGGAGTGTCACTTAGTGATGTAACTTTGTTAAGGAAGTAAACAAAGGAGTCCAATTGAGGCAGATTGGGGAGTGTGTGGGAGAGAAACTCCCGCTGGAGGGAATTTTGGGAACATGTTAGCCTTTGCAGACCATTTACATGCACACAAACCGATACAACACACTACAGAAGAGGGAAACCCCCAAAAAGGAAAATAGGGCCTCGTTAAGCTCTTTTCATTTGTATTTACCTCAAGTCCAAACTTGTAGAAGAAGTAGTTGATGAAGTATTTCATGAAGCGGATGATGCCGATGTCCAGGTGTTGCCGTGTGATATCATGGAAGATGATGCGGGCGGCGGGAGGCGACAGCTTGTTCCTCAGTCTGAAATATCCCTGATGGCGGTAGATGGTCACCTCGAACGCTAACAGAGCTAGCATCATGAGGTTGTCCTGCACAGATGGAGAGAATATCTTTAAATGTGTTGTTCTAATGTGAAAAATACATTCTTATTGATAGTTATTTTCTTTTGTCTCTGTTTGCATTGCATTTGGAGGTAATCCAAAAGTAATGGAAATATGGTTACATTTCTTAAATTGTTTTGTGTTTGCTGTTTGTGCTCCTCACCCTGAGGTAGCCCAGCAGGTCGTCAGCTTTCTCCAGGCCGACCCAGTTGGCTGGATCCACCGGACTCTTATACAGCAGAGACTTATTCATGTCATTCTTCTGGTCTTCTGAGTAGTCTTCTGGCTGTGGACAGAACATATCATCGTATATATGAAGTAAAAGTGTAAGCATAGTCAGGATAAGGGCTGTACTGAGTAATTTGAAGCAGCAATTATTTTAGATTCTACACCAACATTTACATTAAAATTCTCTGGCATGTCAATTACTTTTGTTTAAACCTGGCATTTCTGCAGTTTCATTTAAAGCTTAGCTATAATAATATAACTAGTGTTAAAATATTTGTCGTGAATTCAATCATTGAGTGTTGTCTATTTTTTTTTAAAGTCAGCATTTGTTAAACACAGATCACAAAATGTTTTTTATATAACAAATGATACCTTTTTAATACACTTATTTTCAAAACGAGGCACGTACGATTATACAAAAGTTCAATTGAATAAAAAAGATGATTAAAAAATAGTAATAACTTGATTAATTACTTTATTGACATTTGTTTCACTTTTTATTTTTTTTAGGGTGTCCTGAAATCTAGGAAAAGATTCAAAGCCTCAAATGTGAATAAAATGAGACATTCAGTACAGCCCTTGTAAGGATATGATCTATGTTGTGTAAATATGAATGGAAAAAAAAGCAATTTCTTTCTTTATAATCACCATCAAACAGTTTATGGAGTGTTTTTTGGGTTCTACGAACTTGAGCTGGTACATCATTTTACACACGATGATGACACACGTCCAGACCGTGCAAACGCTGGAGGCGAGCGGCCGGTACTGGCAGTACGGCAGCGCGAAAGCCCAGGACGCCACGAACACGTAGTTGAACAAAGAAACCTGAAAAAGAGACAATGCATGCAATGAGGACAGGAAAAAACGAATAAATCCTACACCAACTAGTGTTAGTATTTATTGAGTTGTTTCATGTATTATATGCATGTGATTCATAATTACTGTAGGTAAGAAGTGCTTGAATACAATTGCACATCCCTTTACGCAAACAAAAAAACTGGAGAAAAGAGGTGAAGAAAATTGAGAGGAAAATCCAAATGTACTCGTAAAAATTGAGGTCAGGAACTATGAATAAAATATCATTACAAAACATAAATATAAGTCTATAAAAGTCAGTTTTAATGAGAATGTAAAAGCCCAAGCAGCTTATCCAAGCTCAAGGCTTCATTCAGAGAGAGTTGATGGCAAGAAATCTGCGGTGTAACTCTTTAACCAATCCTGGTTTATTCCCTATTGGTTCCAGTTGGCTCTGTGTTGTTATTTTTTACAGCATATGAGCAATAAAATCTACCAAGGAAATGTGAGCAATGCTAACAGTGGGTATTTGTGATTGGAAATGTAATAGCTTTTTGACTCAGAACTGTATGAAATGACCTTAGTTAGAGAAGATTGTGACAGGAGTGATTTACTTACAAACAAATCGAAATAGCCTCAGGAAACCGCTGGTATGTAATGTGAAAAATAGCAGTGTAGCATGTGGCCCAATTTTAACAAGAGAACATTTTCAAAGGGCCCTAATGTCAAAGGCACTGCCACCTTGTTAACCTCAGCTTTTTCACAGCTGGAAAGCCCCCGAGAATCTGAGGCTGCAAATTGGCTCGTATCGGGCGTAACACCTCTGCTTTATAGCTTAATATAGAGCCTTGTTTTAAAGTGTAATGTCAAGCTTTCTTACATCTTTGACGGCGATCAGCACGATGTAGCAAGACACGATCTTGATGATGTGGATCTCCAGTAACCACCAGATGAACAGCTGCAGTTTGTGGAAATACTCCAGGAACTTCAGGAAGAGCACCGTCAGCCGGTCGACCACCAGGTGCCATTTATTCTTCAGTTCTGAAAGAGAGGAGAGTGACTAAGTAGGTGCAAATGTGAAGAGTTTCCAGGTTTCATCTCTTCATTACTGTGGGGGAAACTTCTGAAGCAATTGGAAACAGGACTCGGAGAGACACGAGGAGAGCTGGAGCTTTGATGGCAAACACTGACGGTTTATTTGGAGCCACGGCCGGAGAATTCTCAAGACATGTCACGGGCCACGGTATGACCACACAGTTGAGATGCCACAATCAATTCTGAAGAACCCTCCTGTAGCTCCAGGTTTGAACTAGTTTCAACATTCTTCAATAGATAGACTAAACAGCTGGTGAAACTGAATCACATTTGTTGCCCCTCCTTAAGGGAGATAGCGGCTGCCCAAGATTGGGCATCTGCATCAGAGAGCAAAAGGTAAACATGTATACAGAATTATTCCCTGACACTTACAGCTGTGCAGTCTGTCTCGGTTTGAACAGTACTGACATTTTGCTTACGTAGCTTTTAAAACAGCAACCCCAGCTGGAGCAGAATCTCTTTTTGCACTTCAGGAACAGGTCTTATTTTTGTTAGTATATCTTATTTAAAAAAGACTGTCCTGCTGCCATAGAAATGTATTAAACCACTGGGTAAAGATGGACCCTAATAAATGCACTTTTCCAGTCCTATTTTTTATTAGTATATTGATGTATTTGCAGAAAGGCTGAGTAGCAATTCCATTGAAACACAAACTGTACCTCATAAACATTAAAACAAGTTAAAATTCAGCAAACATTTAGAGGTTGTCGAAACGTTTTTAAATGTGGTTATGATTAATTGTAAATGCAAACAAACGTATAATCTATTAGCCCAGCAACAGATACAAAATGAGTGTTTAACCAAAAATGGGAAAAAAATCTGTCATTCTAGTTCCCTAACTTTGTCTAATTTTTCATTATCGGTTGTAGTAAACAAAATACCATTGGGATTTAGGGAAATACTTAGTTTCAGTCTTACAAATCATTTCCAGTCAAATAATGAAATGTATTCAGCAAACTATTTCTTATTGAGTGTGTTCAATTAGTGGAACCAATGTGTAAGACAATCTGCATTTTAGTGAGGGAAAGCTACATTTTGATATGTATAACATTTTATTGAGCAAACTTAACAGCTAAGCATATGTTTCAGATATATTGTGAAACTGTAAAATGTTTGTTTATGTCATTTCCCCCATATGTCACGATGCATGGCAACCAGGGGCGGTCTAGGGGGGCCAGGGGGGCCAGTGCCCCCTAACACTGACCCCCCTGTGGCCCCCCTAACAATGAAACGTTTTTTTTTTTTTATAAATGTATATTTTCTGGTACTCGGTTTGCCAAAAACCGAGTACCAGAAAATAAAAAAGGATTTTGTTGCTGTAATGTGAGATTGTGCAGACACCCTTATGTAAAGTAGAGATGTAACTGTTCATTGCCTTTATTTTTATATAAATATGGTGTTAATGCAAACATTGCACTATAACTTAAAGGGATAGTGGAAATGGAACCTCAAATAGTTTCGTTTTAACTTATATACAAGCATAATTACATACCAAAACAATCACACCTGATTAAAAAAATATAATAATTGCCTTACGCATGTTAGAAGCACTTTATTGCAGCTTCCCCGAAGTTTTTTAGAAACGAAATGTTCGACTCAGCCAAACCGGAAGTGACGAAAACTCAGGAAGACGATACGATAACAAACCATGGCGTCTATGCAGAATGAACGTGGAAGGGCAAATATACCAGACAAAGAAGAAGGATTGTACGAGGTATCCAGTGATGATAGCGAGTCAGAAACATCCTCTCGGCTTTCCTACGAAAATGTCGTTTTAGGAACTGAATCTGAATCCGGTTCAGTAAGCGACGATGGTGACAATATTGAGCCAGACGATGGACCATTACGTCCTTATTTGTTCGAGCCCGAGCCCGAGGTGATGGTTCACGGCATGGGCAATGGCGAGGATGACCAGGACCAGGCGCCAGATGATGCACCCCTACGCACAAATAATCTTGACTGGTAGGTCCCTAAGCATAGCTCACGCATCTTAAGATCACCTGTAGCCTTTACAAATATTAATCATTGTTAACCAGTTAAGGCCGAAGGTCCCCCCAGTGGACCCCTCCCACAGTTTTTTTTCTCTCACATGTCTCAGGGCTTCTTAACATTTATGAAACTATTAATGTTTCATACACTTTTAAAGGTAAGAAACTCCGCTAACTGACAATAAGAACAATTGTTAGCTAGAAAAAACACAAGAGTAATACCAAGCCTTTGAATTAGCATTGAGCGAAACAATGCTAACTAATGCTAACGCTTTTTTACACACAACACACGGTAGAAATGCCCGTATCTTAACTGCACAAACAAGATATACGATTTAAAGCTGAGACTCCACAGATTCCACACATGTAATGTCATCACTGTAAGACCTCGAATTCCTGGAGCTATCAGCCAGAAAAGAGAAAGTAAACAACATCCTAGGATAGCCAGGCTGCCTGTCAAGTGTAGGCTGTACTCACAGTACTGTTAGTCTATCATGTCTATATGATGACTGTAGTGTAGTCATTTGACACTGTGTACCGGATAAATGGCGTTGTACAAAATGGTACAGGCTAATGATGCATTAAATCAACAAGAAAACATAATAAAATACTCACTTCTTATGTATTCCACTTTCAATTTGAGCTAGAGACCGAGGAATCTCGAAACAATCGTCAGTAAAATGACGGGAGCACACGACTGCCGAATTACTCGTCAGCTTCGGCTCCGTGAAGTTTGCCCGTGTTATCTGAACAAATTTCACCCACTGACGACGAATGGCTGGGTTTCTTGGAAACGCATGCGTCGATTCGCCATTCTCTGCATTTGCTGTCGCACTACAGCCATACAAAACACATCTATTCACCATAATAAAGGTCGGCTATTCACATGCAAATGCTATTGAATGTCCGCCATTGTTTGTGCCCATCTTCCTTTGCTCTCGTCATCACCCGAAGATTCCCGAAGTATTTCGTTTCATTGAGAGGGCGCAGTAAAATTGAAAATAAAATGAAACTAGGAGCATGAAATTAAAAAAAATTGTTTATTATGCTTATTTTTAATAAAAATACATAAGTTAAACCTAAAATTCGCGGATTTCCACTATCCCTTTAAGCTGAAGCTAACAGTAATAACTATAAGATCTATCTGAAATAAATAAGTGTACTGAAACAAATACCAATAACTGTATTGCATTGTTTTAACTATTGCGCAATTACTTCATACTGTCTAGTTCTCTTTTTCGTCCTGCATTTATTGTGCCCCGCTCAGAAAATAACTGGCCCCCCAGTGGCCCCCCCAGTCAAATTGGTCTAGAACCGCCACTGATGGCAACACCTCAAATGTGTGTTTTACAAGCTATTTCTAAACTGTTGCTTTAATTACCTGAGAATTAGGCCTTAATATTCTCACAAAGGATATTAAAACTCCAGCTATAGTTTGGATGTGTTTCTACAAAGGATATATTATCTCAGGTTTTAATAGAGCCCTCATTGTTTGGATAAGAAAACACTGAGAGGGCATATACTGTAGCTCGCATAGCTTGCACCTCATTATAAACGGAGAGGCGCTGCAGGGTTGTGTTTTATCACCTATTTTATTTTCTGTGTATATAAATAACATTTTAATTTAAGAGCAGTGTGACGGTCTGCGTAAATATGCTAATGGTGTAGCGCTAGTTGGCTCTAGCAGGGCGATGTAATGGATGAAAGTGACCACTTGAGCTACGCTCTGTGTCAGCAGGGGAAACTGGAGGTAAATCTTACTGAACCCAAAAATCTGCAGAACAACAGACTTTTACAGCTTTCCTCGGGATGATTAACGGCCGGCTGGTGGAGAGTGCAGGCGGCGGATACTTGGACAGCACACTGAGTCTAAGAGAGACTTTAAAGAGTGTATGCAACATATGTCTTCTGAGCAGACTGAAGAGCAGAGACAGATCTAAAAGAAAAACGTCTCTACGCTCCTGACAGTGTAGCCGGCGTCGCACATGTGAGTCTCAGCTGTAAACCCAACGAGAGGAGGAGGCATGGAGGAAAGCTTTCATACACTTTGAAGTAAAACACATGAGAAGTGTTCAAGTACAAGACTGCAACATGATCAGAGATACAGCCTCTGGATGAGAAGTTTTATGACCGCCGACAAGGAAGTTGCGTTTTCAGTCTGTCCGTGTGTGTGTCAGCAGGATTATAGGAAAAACTACTACTGCAATTTGTTATGATAATAAATGGAAGGATGTATCACGGGCCAAGGAAGAAACCCTTCACTTTTGGAGCAGAGCCAAATGACACAGAGGATACAAACACAATTCTTCTTGTTTGTTAACAATATGAGATACGGCAATTTCCCTGCATTCATATGGTGTTGGAATAAACTGTAGCTGAAAAACAAGTTCCCGACTAAGAAATTCACATAAACTACCCCCTCAAAGAGAACAGCAATTCAGTGTTGTGTTGTTTAAATGCTCTGAGCAATAAAATACAACACACCCTCTGTAATGTCCTTGTTCTTTCCATATTAGTTTGTGAACACACGGGAAACGACAGCTTAACTCAGGAAATGGGACCATCCGAGGAGCATGTGAATGCACCGTTGGCCTTGGCGGAGGTCTGTGCCCTACAAGTGCTACTATAGTTTTCATATGATTTGCTTTGATATTTCATGTTTTTCAGAGGAACTTGAAAACATATTTTAGAAACACTGGATACATTCCTCAAGATGTAACCGCCAAACGAGTATTTATTGTTTATCTCTTGTTCTTCTTATAATGATAATTAGTGTTAAAATGAAAGAGAAGACAGTATCAGTCCTAACGTGGTCCTAACTCCACCCCTCACAGACTGCAACCACTACTATTTAGACATATTTATGGCCTTTTTACTAATATATATTTAGAAGTGTAATATGCACATTGACATTGAATTGTACTGTATCTCGTTGCACTGTCATCGCTCTGCTTTTACCACTCTTATATATTTATTGTGTCTATTTTTTACTGCAGTGAGAGTTGCCAAATAAATGTTGTTGTACTTTGTATGATGACAATAAAGATATATCCTATTCTATTCTACCTGAGCTCTGCTCGGTACTCGGCTCGGTTCCCGCGCTGCAGTGCCGGCTCTCGTCGGTGCTCGACTGCCGGTTGTCGGAGAAAGTCCTCGGTTTCTCTCCAGTCATGTCGGTGTCGTCCATCACCACCAGGACCTTCTCCTTCTCCCCCCTCCACTCCCCCTGGTCCTCCTGCTCCTGCTGCTGCTTCTCCTGCTGCGGCGGCTCCTCTCTGGATATCGTGGCCTCCACAGAGCTGGCGCTGAGCATGGTGATGTCCGCCAGGCTGCCGTCCTGGTGCACCAGTCTGAAGACAGGTGGAGAAGTTATTACAAACACACACACGCATGCAGACTCACACATACATATTTATATCTCTACACTTATGAGGACCTTGAATTACTGACTGAATGTCTTTAACCTGCTTACCTGACGTTAAACTGTATGTATAAGCAAGCCGTTTTCCACCATTCAATGGCTACTCTGGAACCACAACATCTTCTATTAATGAATGAAATAAATTAGAAACTGATAAAATGACTGCTGTTGAGATTTGGCCTATTATTTGAACGTGAGACTCCTTCCTATACTTTCTTAGCGGTTGAAAAAACCTTTAACAAGGACTTACTTTTTAAAAGTTTTACGGTAAATGGCAGGGGTGTCAAACTTTTGGTTGCACTCAAAGGGCCGGTGGTAACTTTAAGACTATATAAATATACATAGATAAATATACATAATATATATATAAAATAATGTATTATTTAACAATATTGCCTCTGCATTGGATTATTATCTAGGGTAATAACTTCATAATTAACTACGTCTGAAAGCAGAAGTCTAGGGCAAATAATTGCAAGTAATTGCAAGTCTCTTCAGTGCACATCTCACAAAATGAGATGCATTGTGGGACATGTAGTTTATGGGCAACGTGCTCCTGTAAAGCGGCACGTAACCTTATAATAAACTGATTATATTCTTTGCAAGCGCTTGTGGGCCACATAAAATGAAGTGGCGGGCCAGATTTGGCCCCCGGGCCTTGAGTTTGACACCCCTGTGTTAAGATTTTTAGAGACAGTGGAGAGACAATGTTCACCTGACTTGCCATAACCCAAAGCTTTTTTTTCATGCGACCTTTGACTTCAAGTAAAATACACGTCTTAAATATATATCCTTTTACTAAGTAAAATACTTTTAATTTAAGTTACCTCAAATAAATATTCTCGAGGATTTGTATTTTAGAAAAAAGTCTCTTAAGTCAATTAGGTAATAAAATATCCTTTGGATATTTGCATTTGCACTATTTGCAATAGTGTCACAAGTGGCCACACAGTTTGTATCTCATAAGATATGATCATAAAACACACCTGCAATTAATGCTTATGGCCAAAGGGGCCGCCAAAAAAAAGTCAACAGACATTGGTAACCTGAAATAAATGAACCTTACTAGAAAGCAACCTGGAATTGATCTTCACAATATACAGCAATGTAACTATATCAGTTCAATGTATAGACATTATTTATCATGTTCTTTTCCCCTTACATCGCTATCTTTTTGAAGGCATTCTGTCCTCATAAGCATACAAATACAACAAACATTAATACACAAGGTCCAGTTGATTGTCAAAATACTCCGATGCAAATGTTTGGATGGGAATCTGCAGCTGTGTGTCCACTGACTGGAAACAGAGCAGCGTTTCATCAGGCATTGTAATCAATAAGCAGTGCACATTCCTTTGGCATTCTTTAAACGTTGTTTGTTTTTAATGTCTGAGGGAGTTTTCTTCTTGCACAAGAATAATGGTAGGAGCTAAAAGGAGGCAACCCTTTAAAAATCTTCTCAGGCAATGTAGCAAGCTCCTGGGTCGGGTTTGACTTGCATGAACCGGCCGCATATCAAGGCAGGCATTTCATTTTCGTGTGGTCACACTTACTTGCTCTTTGGAAGGGGAATTTTTTGCTTGATGCTGCTCAGGACAATAAAGTTACACAGGTGAACAGTGAGGAGATAAAACCAACAAAGGAAGGCTGAAACTGACACTTGAAATCACCTCAAACATCCACTTGGTTTTATTAAAAAGGCATAAAAATGTGCCAAAAAGGCTCATGTGGTTCGGGGTAGGCGAGCTTTTTCAGGAAGGGGGTAATTTTCTGGGATTCAGTGCAGAAAGGTGGGTGTGTTGCAAGATACTGGAGGGGAAGAATAGTTATTTTAGAATCAAACATGCTTGTTTGACAGTTTATTTTGGAGAGAAGTAGAAGGGAAAAGGCTGGGCTTGGGTTTGGAGGGGGGTTAAAGATCCAGGAAGATGAAGAGAACCCATGAAGAGAAGGCTACAGGCAAAATAATAATATACAAAACCTGAAAACAAACACCATTCATGACAGTAAATACCAAAACTCTAGGAGTATAAATGTATCATTGCCACAAAAAGGGTCACAGGGATAAGTCAGAGTGAGGGGGAAAAGGACGTTTTGCAACAGGAAGAGGAAGTTGAGACTCAGAGGTGAACTGGGGTGGTGATGGATGCCACAGAAAGCGAGCAGGTACCCACCTATCCATGATCAGATAGACACGGCCATTGACTTTAGCGTGGCTGTGTAAAAACAAGGTGTCAGAAGAGAGGAGAGATGGCAGCAGGTTTACAGAGAGAAGCAGAGACGAGACGAGCGAGCGGCGGCGAAAACAATGAGATGCACAACAACACGGATAAAGTTAAATTGAAAATGTGAATGTACACGGAGCGGCAACAACAGATGAGTGACAAAGATCAGTGGTTAGTTACAATGGGTGTTTAGCAGTTAGTGTGATTATCCAGAATAGTGTGAGATGAAAAGGGATGAGTGTTTTCACCTCACGCTCAACTGTTACCATGAATATAATGGAGAAAGATGAGGAATGGGCTTTGTTTATCAACTTTCAGTTGACTTATGTTGTAATTCAGTCCGTTCCTATCATGTAATTTTACAATGTCATAGAGGGAAGCAGATGATTTCATGGCCTTTGACTGCATGTGTTGCACACTTTATTGTGTTGTAGATGATGAGATTTTATACAAATGGAAGATTTCATTTTTTTATCTTTGAAAAGTCCTGAACATCCATTACTACTGGTTGCTTTAAAAGGTATTTTCATGATCAGTAAAAGCTCTTATAACTGTAAGAAATTAAAATCAATGTTTAATGACGTAATTTAGTTTAAACATACAGTAAGCTTAAAACTGTTTTATTCTGAAAACATCTCCGGTTAGCATTGGCTTGTGGCTAACGTTGTTGCTAAAGTTTATTTTGAAAAGCTTTACTGGAAGGAGTCTCCGTTTATCAACAGTGACGTCACTTCCGGTTTTACGTTAACAACGATTATAGCCGTTAAAATGCATTAAATAAAAAGTGATGAAAGAGTGTATGAGGAGAAAAGGCGTGTGGAGTTATACAATGACCACACAACGTCTAAATCCTGTTTTACGCGATATCGGACACAGAAGAAAGAGGTGGGAGGACCCCCGACATCACGGCTGCCATTGAGAGGACGAGTCACGGATGAGATATATAGATAGGTGGCGAGTATTGTTCGCTCTCTTTCAACCGGAACCACTTCGAGACAACAGCTGATGTCTCCACTACTCCTCTGTTTGTTTCATTACCACGCTACTTAAAGGTGGGGTAGGTAAGTTTCAGAAACCGGCTCGAGTGCACTAAAATTTGAAAATACACAGCCGAAAAGAATCCGCCCCTTCCTTCAGACTTCCTTACAGAGCACCTCCTCCAACACACATGAACGCGCACATGACGTCAGCAGACTGGTGAAAGTGGCCGCCTGGCGAGTCATTGAAGTACTGCTGCAATGCACGCCCAATGAGGGCACGAGATACATTTGTGCGTGCACGAGATGGAAGGCTGACAGACAGGGCGGCAATCCAATCCGTTGAGCCGGCCCGGCTAAACGGATTGGTTGTACTTTTTACAGTATTACGGCTTCCACAGATGACATTTTGTTATGGATTTTTTGTCAAAGCACTTAAGATATTCATTGCTATCGGGATGTTAAGAGCATTCCATGGAATATAACAAAAAGTGTATCTCGAGCCGGTTTCTCAAACTTACCGACCCCACCTTTAATTAAAGTACCAAATTGAACCTTTTCAGAGACTCCATTAGTGTCTTTATTTTAACTTCTCTCCTGGTCGCGAGAACAACGAACACAATCCAACATAACCATCTGATTGAGAAACAGTCATAAAGAGATCAAACCAATGGCCTACTTCTTAACACCAATGTATAATAAAATATAAAGCGACTATAAGAACCGATTGATTATTAGCCTGTGGGGCTATTTTACTTCGCTGTATGAACCTATACCAACCAGTTACAAAAGAAAAGTCAACTTCTCAATGAGTTTTTGGACCTAACGTAACAAACGCGTCTCACCTGTAGATCGTGCTCTCCTCTTTAGCCAAGACAGCCTGGAGGTCTGTGAGCTGCAGGAAGCGGTCGTGGAAGTAGTGCATGTGGAGAATACACACCAGCAGGAAGGACGTGGGAATAAAAATCCTGGTGAACAGAATGGCGACTTCGAACTGCTCAAGGCCGAGGTCCTTCAAACTGCATGATGGGAAAAAATAGAGGAAACAGGAGAAAACATGTGAGCTTATATCATTTTTTGCAGTATATGTGAGTAAAACTTCTCATTAATGAATGCTTTCAAATGATTGATGACAAAAGAAGGTTAATAAAACAAATACTCTCAATAATGAAAGTTTATAAAGAGAATGAATATGTTGTCATTTCCGGATGGTACAATAGGGGTTTATGTAGTGCTACTCTTATAATATACAATCACCCATAACCTTGTAAAATACCATGTGCAGGAAAATGAAAAAAGACCGGGCCAAGAAATCTGCTTATCAGCTTTTGCTTCACTTACCTAAACTTGTTTGAACTGAAGACGCCTACAGTTCATACAATGTATTCTTCGTTATTGCGTTTTACATGAATTACGGCAAAAAAAGACATGCCGTTGGGGAAGGGGGTAATACTCTGGCATAAAATTGACATTTAAGTCAGAAATATCCAAGTAAAATAACTTGGATATTCTCTGAAATGCAATTGGGGAATTTACGATTAAAAAACAACTAAAAAAATGTCAAGAAAAAACAAATTCTTTTTTTTTTTCTCATGACTTTGTGACTTTGAATCTTTGGAATTTCCATAACTGAGTTTATTCTATTTGGCAGGAAGTGCTTTCTGTTCTCACCTTCTCACCATGAAAAATGTTTCAAACCACTAACATTTGAGAGCGGAGGACAGTCTTTAAAACGTTGTGTGTTGGAGCTACTAACAGTATATGAAACTCCCTGAAATGTTATTCTATGTCACTGTGTTTATTTTTATAACATTCAAATATCAGTGTACCCATACAGTAATTAAGGTTATTCTGAGGAGCTCACTGTTTTTCATTCACTCCCAGCTTATCTCTCCAGAAAGGCAGGGAGATGTTGAACTGGAAGGTGTAGACCAGTGTGAGGACGAGCATGGTGTACATCACCACCGACATCCAGAAGTACTTCAGGATCCTCCGCCACCACTCATAGTGCACCTAAACAGGAGTAATGGTGTTTATCGGGGTAATGAATTCTCAGCAGCTTTAATGCACGAAATGTATCACAGAACACATCTGGGTGTAGGGTTACTGCTTTGTTTTGACTCCAGTAGAGTTATAAAAGCGTTGTGAATACAGGGTGGATTATGTACACACACTTTTTATGGCATACTAAAAATGTCAGCAGCTTCTGCAATTGGGAAATGTAATCTTTGGAAACGTTACAGTGTTCCTATCCATATTCAAACTTGTAATACCAAGATGCTTGTTATTTACACATTCAGTAGTAAAACACCACTTTGTTTTCAAAGGACTTATAAGATAAAGATTTTAGGAAATGAAAGAGACTTTTTGGAAGTGTGTAGGGTATATTTGAAAATGTGTTAAGGTCAGACAGATCAGAACGTTTTTTAAGGATTTCAATAAACATCTTATCTGTTTTAATTTGTGCGCTTGAATAAGAAGATACAGAGTATGTTTAAAGGTCTCCTATTATAGCATGCTATTTTTAGGCATATATTATGGGTCTCAGATATAATATATAACAAACATGTCTATGATGTGTTTTGCTCAAAGTACCAAACAGATCATGCATTTTCGACATCCCTCATATCCCTCTATTCCAGCCCTGTTAGAGAAACACGGATTTGGGGTCCTTAGCTTGAAAAGAAAAGGGGAGCTTGTGCCTGCTCAGAATTCTACAGAGATACAGCTAAATGCTGCCGTGATTAAATGCCATACCATGTTCTAAACCACATCAAGGACTATTTCTGAAACCGTATGGAGCTCAAATGCTTTTTCCCTTGCGGGTTTACCACACGGTGAGTTACTTTTTTTATTTCCTGCTTTTTTGCTCTCTCCAGTACAGGTTAGCTCTGAGTGTTAGCGATGCTAATGTAAACCCCGACCATATTACGTCCAAAACACGTCGGGTATTGTTTCTGATGGCAACTTTCTGATAGGGCCGTGGGTGTAAAGCCAGCCCACATTTACGATATTACATCATAGCGGACGCAAATCTGGATCAGCTCCGTTGTAGCTCAGTTTTTAGAGATTTGGGTAGGGAGGAAAAGAGAGAGGGTTTTATTTGCTGACACTTTGTGAGTTCCCTGACGCACCGGGGACACATTTATGTATAAAAGACATCAAAAAGTGCATTTTGCATGATAGGTCCCTTATGTGGACAAAATGTTGCACAGTGAAGATAACTACGTCTTTTATAGCGTGTTGAGTATCACAAGGAACATTTCCATCTAGTTACATGTGTACAGGTGTGTTTTGTTACCTGGTAGAGCGCCACGCAGGAGAGGAACATCATCATGTAGATGATCTTGTACATGACGATGGTTCCCTCGAAGCTGACGAAGAAGAACATTCCCCCGCAGATGTAGATCCAGTATTTGATCAGCAGAGCCATGACCATGCTGCCCAGAACGTGCATGATGTCCTGCTCCCCTCCCTCCTCAGACGCCTCTTCCTCTATAAAACACAGCAGCCAATCAGAAAAATCTGCACTGCCCTACTGACTAACTTCAGACCTTCCTAAATAACCTGCATTCACACAAACTGGAACATACACATTGTAAAAACAACATTTTTTTTCTGATTTCTAACACTTTACTTTAATCCACCCATTTTGGCTTTTGCAAGCACAAGATAAACATTAAATCGATGGTTTGTAACCAGGGGCGGACTGGGACTAAAAATCAGCCCGGGACTCTCGACCGGCCCACTTCGGTACATTAAATTGTCGACGGGGGGGGTGCTAGTGACTTATCCGACCGGCCCACATCGTCCGACCGGCCCACTTCAGTACCGGCCCATCGGGATTCGTCCCGAACGTCCCGATGGCCAGTCCGCCACTGTTTGTAACACACTATGGTGTCAAATTCAATTTCATCGCGGGCCACATTAGAATTATGGCTGCACTCAAAGGGCCGGTGGTAACTTTAAGACTATATAAATATACATGGATAAATATACATAATATATATAAAATAATGTGTTATTTTATATATATTTCCTCTGCATTGGATTATTATCTAGGGTAATAACTTATTATCTAGTAGTATTAACTATGTCTGAAAGCAGAAGTCTAGGGCAAATAATTGCAAGTCTCTTCAGTGCGCATCTCACAAAATGAGACGCCCTGGATTTACCTTTCTTCTTCTCATCCTCCACATGAACGTCTGAGAGACTGACACTTTCTTCTTTTAGTTTTTCCTCTCTCTCTGTAAGTGTTTGTCTCAGCAAAAGCCAAAAGGTCAGCAGACACATGATCTGCACACAACAAATAAAATGTTTAGACAAACAGAAAGGAAAGCAATGACTTTGCTCAAAGCACAATATGGGTGGTCAAAACAACATAGAGGAAACAGTATATATATATATATATATATATATATATATATATATATATATATATATATATATATATATACATATACTATCAGACTTGAGTTTCTAAAGTGTCAGGCACATGTTGCACACATCTGACACTTTAAATAAAGCAAAACAAAATACAGTTTGATAAGTGTGATATCATTTTGCATCCTTACATATGCACTCTGTAGTATGATGATAATAAACATCCCACTAAAAGTCTGACGGACACAGTTCATCAAACAGGACAAACCCTTCCTTTTTCCAGGAGCAATTGTAAAGCTGCCCACTTTGATCTGATAAATTGATTGCATTATAACTCCAAGAACATATTACATCAGAGGTTGTCACTCAATCTATGTTCTTTTAGTAGACAGAAATACATGGCACTGACAAAATAAAGTATATTTTAAACTCCAAACCTTGGATAAAATTGAGTGGAAATGGTTTTTCTTGCTGACAAAGAACCCTGAGTATTGGTCAGGATCCAGGTTCTCAAAACTAAAGATGTACTGCAGACTTATGACCAGGTTTCCGTAAGCGACCATGAAGGGCGAGGACAGCATGGCGTAGCGCCGCCGGTCCCTCACCATCCACAGCGTGCACGACCACATGAGGAAGACAAACGTCAGCCAGCTGACGTAAGTGATGCTCCACACCTGAACAACACAACATTTAACTTACTGTTAGGACGATGCTGCTGATGAAGGACTAATGGAGGTCAAATACAGAGATCTGACGCTCGGCGTTCATACAGTTTTCACTCTGTTAGTTTACAGAGGTACAACATCACATAGCCTACATGTCATATATGTCAGCACAAGTTTGGTTACTCAGACATATTCGGATTGTAAAACAATGGGAGATATAAAAGGCCCCCATCACTTCTACATAAGAACAAGAGCCACAGATTCAAAAACACATCTTTTAGGTCATTTTATTTTTGTCTGTGACTTCCTAACAAGAAATGTTAGCAGTAAATTCAAACGAAAGGTCTGCTTAGGAGACCCCTAACCTGTCCAGTAATCCATGTCCGTGAACCAAGACATGGACGTGTTTTACTCTTAATGATGCAAGAAACTTATGATGAATACAATTGAGTTTTAAACTGTAATCTAGTTATTCTTGTTATAACAGCTCCACAGGTTTGCATTGTGTTGTGTCTCGTCAGATTTGTTAATATTATTTCTCTGTTAGTTTATATTGTCAAGTCCGTGTCTGCCATTTCCTGTTTTACTTTGTCATTTCCTTTCTCATTTCAGGTAGTTCGACTCCTACCTTGTCAGTATGTTCACTGACCTGATTACCTGCCCCGCCCTTATTGTTTGCACCTGTGGAGTCCCTTGTATGTGTATATATTCTGTGTGTTCCCTGTGCCAAGTGCCAGATCGTTTTTGAACCTTGAGAATGGATTACCTTACTTATCACCACAGTAAAAACCTTTTTTGAAATCATCTTTTGACTGGAGTCGTGCATTTGGGTCCTATCAGTTTTTGTGTGCTCCAGTCGTAACACATTGCACAGCAGTTTCATGTCCATGTATGGACTTCGGACTTCTCCAGTATTCAAATTAATTCTCAAAGTAATTTGTGCAACAGTTATACATTTTAAATTCATAAACAAAAGTAATATTGAATGTTTTCTGTCGTGCCAAATTATCATATGATAATTGAAATGATATATATAGATTATGTTTTATACTCTGATTGCCTTTTACTCCGTTAAATTGTATTTTTAGTCTATATGTGTTTAACAGAGACATATGTTTAGGATTGACATTTCAGGACGGGCAAAAGGTGGATTTGCAAATGGTTAAGGACTGGGGGGTTTTATGGTTTAATGGTGGGGATGTTTCGATAATGCCTAAGATACTTTATGGGTGGGACCAGTTGGCTATTTTCTTTCTGCTATATAGTGTGACTGTAAACTGTGTTCAAAGCTATGTTATCCTCTGTGGATGAAGTTGCTCTGTTCCTGCATTTGAGATCGATTTTATTTGTGTGTGATTATTGACTTTCTTTATTACTTTATCAAATATAACAAAAGACAAACTGTGTCCATTCATCATTTATCAGTTTCTCATAAGGGAATTCGAATTTCCCGACTAAAATGCAGCATAAGCCTGCGTCTGTAGCTCCTACGTTTCAACATCTGCGGGATGCGTTACTCACCATCATGGCTATGAGAGCACAGATGTAGCTCTGTTTCAGGACAAAGTGGAAGATTTTAACTATCGCACCGACTCCTCTTTTCTTCATCTTAGATTCCTCCTCTCCTCCTTCAAGCTCCGACTCCTCCAGGGGAACAGACACCTCATACACACACTCCTCCTTCTTCTTCTCTGGTTGGACACAGAAACACGACTCACTGTTAGAATACTTACGGGGCTCGGTTACATTATTGAGTTACGTGAGAAACTGCAGTGATTCAGGGTTGAGCTTATACGTATAAAGTTGGGAACAATTTGAAGACACGGAGTGGAAATCTGTCCAGCAGAGGACAAGATAATCTGACTTTTAGACCAGAGTATGGGACAACAATTCATCATGATAGATCATGAATGTGTGTACAACAGTTAAAAGCAAACATCCGGTATGTGGGAATGGACGGACTTCATCTTCACCCTTCAGGAAAGGAAACTGAGAACTTCCACACCAACACTATGTGCAAGATAAATATCATTACCATCATTACAAAACACTCGCTGCTACATAACATGTGCAATATTATTATTATTAATAATGTGCCATGATAATGTGCAATTACGTATCTGCCACTACGTTTTTTTTGCACTACTGAATACTGATAATAATTACATTAATTATGTGACCGTCTATGTTTCATGTATTTAATTACGCTTTTTACTGCACTGTTAGTGTACAGTTTTACTATTGTGCTGCTGTGTTTATTGTATTTTTGTAACTCTGGCACAACAATTTCATTCGGGATAAATAAAGTTTGATCTCCTCTTATCTTAAGAAGCCACTAGCAAGACCAAAACAACTTTACCAAGCTGCTTCCATAACAGCAGACATTAAGCAGCTGTGTTCACAGGCTGATGACGGGCAGCCAATTGACTGTGACGTGTCGAAACAGTGAATTACCCCTTCACTTGATTCTGTGAATTCAGTTGTGACAAGGTGCAGTTAAGCAAGTTCAAGTGCAAAGTACAAGTGAAGACAATTCAATGTGGTGGAATCAAAACAAAGGAATGTGTCTATGGCAGGAAAATCCAATGATTTTTGCCGCAGTTATTTTAAAAATACAACAAAAATATCAACGATAAACATAGTGCATATATGTTGTTCTGTAATTCTTAATTACATCCAGAAACTGGGAACAACTGCCTTATAATAACATCAATATTATCCACTGCACACTTGATAGAAGGAGTTTCTGAATGTGAGAGAGAGTATATAACAAAAGTAAGCTTACTATTTAAAGAAAAATATATCTTCGGAAATACATTTGTTTACAGTGTAACTAAGCGCAAAGACTTCCTGCTGATATCCAACTATATATAACGACACAAAATACGCTTCTGATTTTATAGTGACAACGTTTCTTTCCACAGTAGTTTCACTCTACAGTATTTACTTGTCATTAACTTTTAAATTAAATGAAGAGAGAAGACATTAAACTGCTCACCTGTACCGTCGCTGGGCTGGTCCATTTTATACTGCGGGGTGGAATATAAGTCCAGGCAGACCGGTCCATTCTCAGTGGTGACGAACTCAAAGGACGTCCCGTTTGAGATGGGAACAGCCTGCAGATCATCGTCAGAAATTACAAATACGCTTCTGTATCTGAGAGAACAGGTCTACTGTGGGATCACATTACTGTACTGCGTTCTGCCCCACAAAGGCAAACAGGAGAAACTGATCCACAAACTGGAAAAAGCAGATGTTAGATTTGGTGTTTTTATTTTAAGTTTCAGATAAGTTAAGTGTTAGCAGCTTAGTCACCACACGTTGTCTTTGTAGGGCGGTACAGGGATTTCTTCTACTTTTCACACTGCACATTCTTACATTTAACACAGACAAAACCTGACCTTAAACACGGTGCTAACAACCCTTTTATAAGATGAACGTCTGAATTGAGTAACTTGGATATTTACACTACCTTTCTGTGCTTTTGGAAACATGAGAAATACGAGATACAGACTTCCAAAGTTGTTTGTGGAGCCTCAGACAACATCATGACTTTTAAACCTGACAATATGACCATTTCATCCAAAACGCTGTTTGCCACAGAGCTTATTTTTGGAAATGATTAAAAGTCCAATGGAAAAAACCCACTGGCTTTTTGTCAAGGGATTTTTTTGATGCTAACTTCCAGGTTGGCCTAAACAAATCTGTCATCCCTGCAACTGTCTATTCTGATTCAAACATTTTCCAAAATAAAACACCAATAACTTGTTTTTTAACGTCAATAACGTCCTGACATTTTCCATGTTTCAATCCCAGAGGCACTTGAGCACAGTGGCTTAATGATTCCATGTTGAGAATGGAGAATGTAGTACGACAGATAAACAGTACAAACACAAAGGGAAAAGAGGTAAACGTGAACTTCTAAACACAGCACATGATAACCATGTTCTTTAAAGGTCACCTATTATGCAAAATCCACTTGTTCTACATCAACATGTGTCCCCTCGGTGTAAAGAGATTCTGAAAGTTTCAGGAAAAAAGATTCTCTCACTTTTTGTCCTGATCAATTTATATAGAAACCTGTCTGAAAATGAGCTGATCAGATTTTGGCCACTTTATGATGTCATAAGGCTTTTTTGGCTATTAGCCAATCACCAACCAAGGTAACCCCCCCCCCCTTATCTCCTTATTTTCATCTAAAGTAACAGACAGAGAATCAGCACTTTTGAAACAGGGCTGAAGAGGGGGATTATGGGTAATGCTGCAATGACCTGTTTGGTGTTTGGAGCCAAACACTTCAGAGACATGTTTTGTAAATATCTGAGACCTATGATATATTGATGAAAAACAGTATAATAGGGGACCTTTAAGGGTGCAGTGTGAAAAGCACTTTGCAATGATTCCTTTTCTTGCAGCAAGACTGAGAGTAAAAAGGGGTCAAGTTGCACAGATTTGAGACATATCCAGAGCAGCCCCCACCTCAGTTGTACTGAAGCCATCTTGAGTGGAGAGGAGCTAGGAGGAGAAGAAAAAAAGAGCATACAAGGCAAGGTGTGTTATCGATGAGCTGCTGAAGTCAAAGGCCTCCTTGTTCTCTATAGTCGCTGATATACAGGAACTAAGTCTGTGAATCAAGCCCATCACTCATCCGCATCTGCACACCCTAAAAGCTTTCAAACCTCAGGAGGTGGCCGGTGGAGACAGACCGCCGACCTTGATATAGGAACAAGGTCAGAAAGTGCTTCCAGCTGAAGTCTTTCCAGGGATGAGGCTCTGATGGAGGGGAGGCTCGGTGAGGCAAGATGTACGCTTGAGTTTACAGTATAACCATTTTCAATGCAATAAATATTGTTTTTATTATTACTATTATCATTTTTATAATGTATTTTATATAATTTAATTATTGTTATTATTATTATGTATTTTCTTTTATTATTTATTTTTATTTTCTCATTATTATCAATATTACTATTATTTATTTGTTCTCCTTATTATCAATACTACTATTATTTTCTTTTATTATTAGTATTTTTATTATTTTTATTTAAAGTGAATCAAAAACAAATATTGTCTCCTAAATTTTACAGTATTTATTTTTAATTTTATTTGTATAACCTATATATTTTATTTTCTGCATTAATTTACATTATTCTTTTATTTCCCATTGTTTTTTTTAACTGTGTTTCTAATTTGTTATTATAATAGTATTATCTTTATACATTACATTTGAAACGTTACAAATTAAACCAATAATAAAGCTTAACTGAACCAAAATGTTCCAGGTCAACATTAGTTATCAGTCGTAAGAAGGAAATGTGTTAATTGGGAAAGCTTGATGAGCAGAAGATGAGAAGTTGAAGCAAATTATTCTTCAGATATTCATGATATTTTCAAGGCTGTTGAAAATAATGATATCCTAGCTAAAAGATGACTTCATGACCCGTCCAGTAATCAATACTCTGTTAGCCGTGTGTAATAACCGTGACGTACGTTTTTCTCATCTGTTCCTTGGCGTGACTCCCACCACAGCTGCCTCTTCCTGTTGGCCCCGTGATTCGTTGTGTTTCCATCCAGATCTTCCTCCTCACACATATCGTCTTCCTTGTCGTCCTGAAAAAACAAAGATAGACAGTTTGGAAGATAAATATCTTTCCTCCACTGGAGAAGCAGTCTCTTGCTTTCAAGAATCCCAGTTTTAATCAGCGCCTTTTGAAGAAGTGTGTAGGAGGGCCGAATCTGAGGAGGAGTTGGGTGACCTTTAGTCATTTATATTTTATAAACAACTAACTGCATCATCTACTATCACAAAATGTGAAAGAGACATGTTGAAAAAGCTATTAACTTGCCAGTTGTTCAGCTTTTAGCACCTGTTTTCTTGTTAATTTCACAATGGAAAGAAAATGTAACTTGTTCTATTTGCAGTTTGCATATTTTAGGAATTTTAAGCGTCAGTTTAATAAAAAAAAAATCACATGACATTTGTTAGACGCTTTTATCCAAAGCGACGTACATACTCAGTCCTGTGGACAATCCCAACAGTGTCACAGGGACACAACGACATGCTGACTGCAGTGGGACTCGAACTTGCTATCCCCTGATTCGAAGTCCAGCACACTATCCACTGATCCACAGCCTCCCTCATTTTTCGCCTGATTGAGGAATTCACTTTTCATTATTGTAGTTATTTTAGTGTTTCTCACTCTGGCTTTGGTGCTAAATGTTTTTCTTAGAGATAAAAAAAATGGCAATCAGAAACATCCATCCATCCATCCATCTTCTCCCGCTTATCCGTGGTCGGGTCGCGGGGGTAGCAGTTCCAGCAGAGAGCCCCAATCAGAAACAATGCTTTTTAAATAAACTCAAACTGCATTGTCCACATTTTGTATTGGCCCTCTTGTGCTCATTTTCAGGCTCATAGTTGTATTTTGTTTCTCTACTGTATCGTGTTTACATCAAGTACAATGTGTCGGAGCGCTAGCCAATAGAAGTGTTACGTAGTGATGTCATCATGTTGCTGAAGTAAACAAAGTCCAATGGAGGCGTTTCAGAGATGGGGGGGGGGGGGGGGGGGGGGGGGGGGGGGGAGTGTGTGGAGAGAAACTTAGGGATGTTAGCCTTTGCAGACAATGCATGCACACAAACCTATAACACATTACAGGAAAGGACAAACCCCCAAAAGAATAACAGGGCCTCTTTAACTGTAAAACTAAACCGTTATCCGGACTCTTTTGTGTGATTGACGTATGCTTATCTTTGTTTTCACACTGCGGTCAGATTTATAAGGAAGCTGTAACAATACATGCCGTTTTTTTATTGTCTGTTTGTGAAGATAAGATCCATCATTATGTGGCGTTTTCACTGCCAAACAAAGCTGTCAGCTGCTGAGCGATGTTGTAATTATGTTTTATTATTAGAGTCATCTAAAGTGTAAGGTTAAAACTCTCACACACCCCTTTGTGGAAAGATCGATAATGCATACGGCCCCACAGGTTCACAGGGAAGTATTGACCCCTCTATAAAAACACGGATCTATAACTCCATTACAGACGGAGGAGATGAACCCTCGAGCCGCGAGGTGAAGGAAGATGAAGTCAGGAGCGACATTCATGACATTTCCCACATTACATGACATTGGAGAGTTCCTTACTCTTTTGGTTTATATCATAAAAAGCTGAATATATTTCGATGTTTGGCCGTTAAACACAAGACATTTAAAGATCTCTAACTGGAGTAACTTGGGTGGACACTTTTCACAATTATCTGACATTTTAATAGGCTAATTAATCATGAAATCGAAAAAAATAAATGGCAGGATAAATTCATGAAAATAATCATTAGTTGCATCCCTATGGAGGTCATTTGGTTTTATGTACTGTGGGGGAAACTTCTGAAGCAATTGGAATCAGGACTCAGAGAGGCACGAGGAGAGCTGGAGCTTTGATGGCAAACACTGGCGGTTTATTTGGAGTTACGGCCGGAGAAAAGACAGGCGGTGCGTCACGAGTTGACACAGCGGTTGCCGAACCAATTCTGAAGAACTCTTCTGTAGCTCGAGGTTTTAACTAGTTTGGAGTGTAATAATCAACATTCTTCATCAGTGAGACTAAACCATTATGGACCCTGAATCTAACTAGAGCTCTCGTCCATAGAAAATAATGTGCGCCAGGGAACCTACGTCCCTGAACAGTAAACTACCTCATGGCGGCTTGTGCTCGGTCATAAACTGCAACAACAATGCGCCCAAGCTGCTCCTCCTTAAGAGAGATAGCAGCAATACCCAAGGCCGTAGAGTAGACCTATGTCGTGGGAAAGGAGACAGTGAGAGGAGAAAACGATGAACTGGGTCGAAGGTTGAATACCTAAGCAAATGATTCCCTAACATGTACCAACGTTTTGATTTACCTCAGAGATTTCTGCTGATACCCAAAGAGGTGAATGGAATTTAATGAGTGTGCCACATGAAATAAAATAAAAACATTTTAAATATTATAAACAACTCTGAAATAATGCATATACTCTGGATAATCAACAAAACACAGTTTTTTGAGAGCGTGTTTCGTCATTTGCATTAACTAACCCTTTAAGTTCAATCTACATTCAGTCATTCAGAGGTTAACATGATGTTATAGTTTTAAAACAGCTCGCTCAGCAAATCTTTAATTGTTAAATTGACAGTTTTATATATGTATTTTATACGTTTGTAGATGATCACTAATAAATTAAAGGACATGTTTCCATTTTTCCAAGTGTGTCAGGTGGCCATATACAAACACTTAGCTGGTTTTATTAGGCCATTCGAGAAGCAACCCCTAAAGCGCTCTCAACGTGAGAGAGGTGGACTAAATCCACGGTCCATAGTCACATAGTCACATTTGGAAGATACTGAGTAGTTTGATTTCACTTCATATACCCTCAAATCAACTTTGGGGTTTCTTTTTTTGTTCAAAATGTTTGTTCTTGTCTTGAATTTGTTTTATTGGGAGAAAGTTAAGTAAGGGATAATGTGCAGCGACGCGGTCATTATGGGGAAAAGAACACCGACAGGCTGATCAGGAGCCCGACGCAAAGCATGTATACAGTTAAATCGACCGAACTTCTTTCTGCAGATGTAAGCGTCCTTAACAACGGTCAATAAGTCCTTGACAACGGTCTGTCTGTTCTGGATTAACAATGTGTCACGTGTTCTGAATTGACCAATCAGAATAGAGTATCCAACTAAGCCATGTAATAAAACTAAATATGTCAATGGTTAGTAAGAACAGGTTAAATAAATACAGCAAGTAACATCTCTTTACATGTACAAATGGGATCCTGAATACGGTTTTAAAACTGATGTTTTTCTCAATACCTAGACCTTCAGCGGGATATATCTTATCAGGAAAATGTTATTAAACGGACTGGGTTATTTGTATTGTTTAGTTATAGTAGGATTTAAAAACTGAAGCACCTCTCAATAAGACATGTTTGGGTAAAAATATACTTACTACACTAACTGAACTGGCTTCCTCCTTTACAACTGTGAGTCTAATTTATAGACCATATATTACATACTCTTCTTTAAATGTGGACCAGTGGCCTTTGAGTTGTTACTTAACGGGAACATGTGCTCCTATAGATCACATCATGCTGGGATGCACGCTGCCTTCGTCAGAATTAGACCAGCAGTGTGTCAGATAACACCTGAGCTACGGCGCACAGCCATCGACCGTCCTGAAATCTTCCATCAATAAAGTTTCTCTGAGCGCGAGGCCACCTGGCTGCACATTTAATCCAATCTGCTGCTATTTCAGTCCACTGTCGGGATCCAGCGAGGAACCGAGTGGAGGTGTGGTGTGTTGAATTCAACCAAACATCTCTGTGGATCTAGCTTTCTCTAAACAGGAGCTCATGGTCATTTCAATTCTAAAATAATAATCACTTGCCGTTTGCAAGTCCATGTCTTCCCGTACAAACAGACTCAAGTTTAGTTTCTTTCCCAGGGCCATCTGTGCACTTAACGCTGCCAATATTCAAGTTATCATGTCTTCCGTGCAATATGAGGGGAATCGTGCAATTTAATTTATTATTTATTTATGTATATATTCCCTATCATGTCTATTTAAGTCCCATTTCTTGTTTTTATATTGTCTTGTTGTTGCGCGTTGGCACCTTGAGTTCATATTGTAATTTTGTTGTACTTGTACAATGACAAAAGATCTTATCTTGTAGTGATTTTATCCGGAGGAGATTGTCTTATCTAAAATGTGATTAAAAGCTCTATTTGAATCTTTGATATACGTACATAGTTATGTTGTCTGTTATTGTCCGGTCGCCTAATTGCTTTGTTCTCACAGAATAATGCATAATTCACAGAAAGCACTTGCTCCCCGTCAAATCCCGTATAGTTTTTATACATCCATGACCTCACTAGCTCTCCGACCTCCTGCACATCAACACACCCATCCGCACTCTCAGGTCTTCCGCTTCCCTCCACCTCACTGCACCCCCCTTCCGTTTAACCACCATGGGGTCTAGAGCCTTCAGCCGCTCTGCACCCCGCCTCTGGAACTCTCTCCCACCTGACATCCGCAACAGTGACTCTCTCCCCATTTTCAAATCACGTCTCAAAACACATCTCTTCACACTCGCATATCCACCCTGATCATTATCCATCACACATCCTGTTTTTATTTATTTGATTGATTTATATACTGCATTGTCTTGTTTATGTCTCTTATGCTGGTGTTATGTATTGTGTATCTTGTTTTTTATGTGTTTGTATGGCGACCTTGAGAGCCTTGAAAGGCACCTATATAAAATAAATGCATTATTATTATTAAAGCAGGTAGGACATTTGTGCATTTAGCAAAGACTTGAATAAAAGGTGTTTAAAAATGTTTTACGAAAAATGGTAGAAGTCTTGAGGCTGCGTTGCATACTTGTCTACTAAAACTGTGCCTTTTGCACTTTAATACTCTTTATTATTAATGAACAATTTGGTAAAATCGAATAAGAAAAAAAGTCATGATCAATTTGATGGTTTGAACCAGAAAAATACAACAACAAAGCACAGTTTATCACAAATTTGTTATGTTATATTTTCCCTTTAAGAATTCCTTAATGGTTTCTGTAGGTTTAACAGATTAATCAAAAATCTTTTTATTTAGTTTTGACAATCCATAAGCAGTGTTTGTCATATAGTAATGGTAAACATAATATATGCCAATACAAATGAGCCATTGGTCTGTGCTGATTGTATGTACAAAAGGAAAAATACAATTTGAAAACAAGAAAAACACAAACAATAACAACGACTAAAGTAATCCCCTACGTTCACTGCCAGTGATCCTTATACACACGGATATATGCCAAATTTAACAAATCAATCACTTGCTTTTCATTCACAATCTAAATCACATGTGTCAAACTCAAGGCCCGGGGGCCAAATCAGGCCCTTGGTGGATTTAATTTCGGCCCGCAGGATAATTTTTAATTACTATTAGATCTGGCACTCCGGTATATTGCACGCACACCTTCACTCCATCCTGAGGGTCTCCTCCGCTCAGAGCCTGACCCCAAACATTGATGACCTTGCACCCGAGATGAGATGCCAAGTATCTGCTTGAACTAGCATCACAGCAGCAAACTGAGTTTACATGGATGTTTCCTTCTGCACTTTGTTTCTTGCGACAACAGGGAATGTTTGGTTTGTTCTTTGAGGGAAATTGTTTTCTGAAGCTGTTGTTGGCCTGTGGAGAAACGTACTCATAAGAAATGACTCCGGAAAAGCTGCAGATAGAGCCATAAGAAATGACTCTGGAAAAGCTGCAGATAGAGCCATAAGAAATGAATGCAACTGATTATTTAATGTTTCATGTTGTTTTTAAAGGCAATAATTGAAGCTTTGTTAGTTCCAGGTTTAATATGTGCAATAAATTCATTTCAATACGTTTTGCAATAAACATTGAACCAGTCCGGCCCTCGACTAGTACCCATTTTTTTATTTTGGCCCCCTGTGTATTTGAGTTTGACCCCCCTGATCTACTGTGAACAGTTTATGGACAAATCTTCCAGTAAATGTCACAAAGCTGTGAACTGAGAAGTCTCTGCTCCATAGTTTCTCTCTTCACTGTACATGTTACATTTATATATTCAGTTCAATATTTAATATTCCATGTGTCACATACTTATGTATATATAATACCTTGCTTTATATCTTGTTATTGTTAATTTGTCAATTCAACTGTATATTTTCTACTTTCTTGTTTTTAAATTTGTATTGTACAATACCATGTATTTTTACTGTATGCTGCTGCAACACAAACATTTCCCAAATTGGGATCAATAAAATCTTATCTTATCTTAACTGAACCCTCTCATTGCATGGTGTCTCACCGTCAGCTGGTCGATGGGCTCCTGCAGCCAGAGGCGGATGAGCGTGGCCAGCGTGTAGTAGAGCAGCAGCAGCATGATGGGATTCACAAAGTGGAACCACTTACGCTCCGGGTGCACGATGAGCTTCCACGTGTAGGAGCAGTTGCTCTGGATAATGGGGGAGATGCCAAATACTCTGCAGAGACAGAAAGAGAAACACAGACAGACATATGAGGACTGGAACCATTGCCAGGATTTGAGTTATAACAACTTTGAGTAAAAAGTGGCAAGAGACAACATTGTAATGACGAATGTAAAGACGCTTCCTATTATCATCAAATGTCAATATAAACAGTACGTTTGACGTAAGGTAAGGATGTGATTTCTCATCGGGAAAATACAACTTTATTGCCAGAAAATATGAGCTGTAATAACTTAGTTTAATAAGTAAATCAACAGAAGATCAATCACTTTACTATGGATTCATTTTTTATTAATATATTAATCAATTACATTTAATTAATGTATTAATCAATCATAATTGTTCATGCAAAAAGGCTAAATATTGGATAATGTTTGGTACTGAAGGTAACATGACCTGTTTATCTTGATCTAACAATATAATAAATGTAAGATTTGTGGGGTTTGGACTTTTGGTTTGACAAAAACGATATTTGAATACGCAACAATTCACTGTAGGAGATTGTAAGGGTCATTTTGTTGGCCTTTTATTCTGATGTTTTAGAAACAAAACTATAAAATAAAAACAATTAGTTGCAGTCAGGATTATTTGTCTACCAAAGTTTGACTCTCTTTTCCAACTCATTAATTTTTTAGGGACTTTATATCTCACAAAAAAAAACCTTTCATCCTTTAACTTAACATTTATTTATTAGACAACAATTAAGAAAATCTGATTGTCTTTCTTGAATTGCGTCGCCCAACAACAGCAAAGAGAGGAATACTCGTTCTTAAATCTTTTTGAAGCAGAGTTATTAATCAGTGGATTAAGACGGTTCTCAGCAACATAAGTGTATTGTTCGATTGATTACATTCAATTCAGCGTGTGAGGCCTTGGGTTCTCAGTCTTTCAAACAAATGATCGATCACAGAAACACAGCCAGCGTGGACGAGCCGATGCAAACGACACAAAGGATTTTAGGAACTGCTGAGTCATGCTGTCCGTGCACAGAGGCCTATATATTAAACATTGTATTAACTTTAATCTGAGGAGTGTGATTAAAGGAATAATAATTTTTCATTGTTTTATTTTTCTGATAAATAATGGACACTTTCTCTTCTTCACGCCTTTAAATCTGAGATGGCAAACTGTGACTTGGTTAACCTTAAACTGATTTTGTAGTTATGCCAGGTTTATGTTAATCAGGGTATATGCAGGAATCCTGAAGTCAAATGTAAAACCTTTTAAGACCTTTTTTAAGACCCTTTCCATACATTTTAAGACCTCATCGCCACTTTGAGTTTTAACCGGTTACATTGGCGACACACTTTACCTCACATTGACTATATACAGTATTGATTGTCCTTCCTCCTTATCTTCCAACCATTTGGACGCAGACTTGCATTTCCCCATAACGATGTTTAACAACCAGCGTAAACGGACCTTCGTGCGCTATCAAGCAGTGAGCGTGCGATGTCCTGTTCAGATGACGTCAAGTCCAACGGGATTCCATAAATAAACTACACAGAATCACACTACACACCTACGCAATGATTACATTCAGGCACACTGTAGAATACAACCTCTTTGGACCATTTATATACTCATTGAAAACAAGCTACAACATTTAATACCTTGGAAAATGCCGTTTAATACTTTTTAATAGCCTTAATTTTCGCTACAATTATTTATCAACTTTTAATACTTTTTAAGACCCCGAGACGTTTTTCTGCGGCACCTGTCCAAAGCAGTACATCTACACACTTTCAACATTCTCTGCAACATTTAGATTATTGTTTTTACTTACTATTTTAACATGTATATGGTTTACTTCATCTGCGTTACTGCATCATCTTACACTATTTTATTGTATTTTAAATGTGTTTTATGTCTTATATATATTTACGTTGCATTGTTGGATGAGACTAAAGATTTTCCTTGCCATATCTGCACTGTAGCTTCTGTGCATATGACAGTAAAGCCTTTGAACCTTTGCTTTACTTGCAAGCCATAACTCCTGTCTGCTTCTCCATTATCTACACACTGACTACGGATAAGTACCTTATACAACCCCCTTGTGCTATTCTATTGATGACATTCCTGTCAGTAAGATTTCCTTCGACTCTCTAACCTTGGAATCTAATCGAAATGCACTGACGCTAGACTTCTGTTTGTACCACAAAGGATGCTATATGATTCACTCCTCTTCCTCTGAGCAAAACAAAGATCCTGTACTCCACAGGAAGTCTGCTGACGTGTCCCAGTGACAGCCACATAGATTTAGACTAGGGGTGTCCAAACCTTTTTCACCAAGGGCCACATACAGAAAAATATACGGAGGGCTGGGCCGCTCACTAGAGGTATATTGCCTCATAAGTTCAGTTATCTGAAGAACCAGCACCTTACCGTGGTAGAGAGGTTTGTGTGCCCTGATGAACCTGGGGGCTGTGTTGTCCGGAACCTTGTGTTCCTGGTGTTCCTGGTAGGGTCTCCCATGGCAAATTGGTCTCAGGCAAGGGGCCAGACTAAGATTGGTTCAAAAGACCTCATGAAAGACGACACAGGAAGTGAGGATACCCGGCCCGGAGGAAGTCCGGCGTCCCCTTCTGGAGCCAGGACCAGAAGGAGGACTCGTCTGCGAGCGTCTGGTGGCCGGGCTTGCCACGGAGCCCGGCCGGGCCCAGCCCGAAAAGGCAACGTGGGCAACACCTCCGCTTCTCCGTCCCGCGGGCCCACCACCTACGGGAAACAGCGATGGGGTCGGGTGCGCTGCCAGAAGGGTGGCAGTGAAAGCGGAGGGTCTCGACGGACCAGACCCGGGCGACAGAAGCTGGCTTTGGGGACGTGGAACGTCACCTCTCTGGGGGGGAAGGAGCCGGAGCTTGTGCGGGAGGTGGAGCGTTACCAGTTGGATCTGGTTGGGCTCACCTCTACGCACAGCGTCGGCTCTGGAACCTTACTTCTGGATAGGGGTTGGACTCTATTCTTCTCCGGAGTTGCTCAATGTGTGAGGCGCCGGGCGGGTGTGGGGATACTCACAAGTCCCCGGTTAGGGGCTTCGTTGTTGGAGTTTACCCCAGTGGACGAGAGGGTCGCCTCCCTACGCCTGCAGGTTATGGGGGGGAAAACTCTGACTGTTGTGTGTGCTTATGCACCCAACAGCAGTTCAGAGTATACGGCCTTCTTGGAGACCCTGGAAAGAGTCCTGTATGGGGCTCCTGAAGGGGACTCTTTAATCTTGCTGGGAGACTTTAACGCACATGTGGGCAATGATGGAGACACTTGGAGGGGCGTGATTGGGAGGAACGGCCCCCCTGACCTGAACCGGAGTGGTGGTTTGTTACTGGACTTCTGTGCTAGTCATGGATTGGCTATAACAAACACCATGTTCGAACATAAGGATGCTCATAAGTGTACGTGGTACCAGAGCACCCTAGGCAGAAGGTCCATGATCGATTTCGTTATCGTATCATCGGACCTGAGGCCGTATGTTTTGGACACTCAGGTAAAGAGAGGGGCGGAGTTGTCAACTGATCACCATCTGATGGTGAGTTGGGTCGAGTGGCGGGGGAAGCCTCTGGATAGACCTGGTAAGCCCAAACGTGTAGTTCGGGTGAACTGGGAACGTCTGGAGGAGGCCCAAGTTCAGGAGGCCTTCAATTCACACCTCCGGCGGAGCTTTTCGGGCATTCCTGTGGAGGTTGGGGACATTGAACCAGAGTGGTCGGTGTTCAAAGCCTCTATTGCCGAAGCCGCGGCGGGGAGCTGTGGTCTCAAGGTCCTAGGTGCCTCAAGGGGCGGTAACCCTCGAACCTCCTGGTGGACACCGGTGGTCAGGGAAGCCGTCCGACTGAAGAAGGAGGCCTTCAGGGATTTGTTATCCCGGGGGACTCCCGAGGCAGTTGCAAGGTACCGACAGGCCCAAAGGGCAGCAGCCTCATCCGTGGCCGAGGCAAAGCAGTGGGTGTGGGAGAAGTTCAGAGAAGACATGGAGAAGGACTTTCGGGCGGCACCAAAGTTGTTCTGGAAAACTGTCTGACACCTCAGGAGGGGGAAGCAGGGAACCATCCAAGCTGTGTACAGTAAGGATGGGACGTTGTTGACCTCAACTGATGGAGTGTTAGGGCGTTGGAAGAATCACTTTGAGGAACTCCTGAACCCGACAACTCCGCCCTCTATGTTAGAGGCAGAGCTGGAGTATGACGGGGGATCAACACCAATCTCCCGGGGGGAGGTCACTGAGGTCGTCAAATAACTCCACAGTGGCAAAGCCCCGGGGGTGGATGAGATACGCCCGGAAATGCTGAAGGCTCTGGGTGTTGAGGGACTGTCATGGTTGACACGTCTCATCAACGTTGCGTGGAAGTCGGAAACAGTACCGAAGGAGTGGCAGACCGGGGTGGTGGTTCCCCTTTTAAAAAGGGGGATCAGAGGGTGTGTGCCAATTACAGAGGCATCACACTACTCAGCCTCCCCGGGAAAGTTTACTCTAAGGTACTCGAAAGGAGGGTCAGGCCGATTGTCGAACCTCAGATTGAGGAGGAACAATGCGGATTCCGTCCTGGTCGTGGAACGACGGATCAGCTTTTTACTCTCGCAAGGATCCTGGAGGGGGCCTGGGAGTACGCTTATCCGGTCTACATGTGTTTTGTAGACTTGGAGAAGGCGTATGACCGAGTTCCCAGGGAGTTACTGTGGGAGGTGCTGCGGGAGTATGGAGTGAGGGGGTCTCTACTCAGGGCCATCCAATCTCTGTACTCCCAAAGCGAGAGCTGTGTCCGGGTCCTCGGCAGTAAGTCGGACCCATTTCCGGTGAGGGTTGGCCTCCGCCAGGGCTGTGCTTTGTCACCAATCCTGTTTGTAATATACATGGATCGGATTTCGAGGCGTAGTCATGGGGGAGGGGGTCTGCAGTTCGGTGGACTAAGGATTGCACCACTGCTTTTTGCAGATGATGTGGTTCTAATGGCTTCATCGGTCTGCGACCTTCAGCACTCACTGGATCAGTTCGCAAC